AGCCACACACGTTCAGCAGCACGAGCAAGACGCGTCGCCCACACGGCACATCACAAAAGCCAGAGGAACCAAAACGAAAATTGATCAAAACGTGCCTCGGCGAGGGATTGATTATGTCTCAAGCCAATCAAGCCATCCATGTAGAACCCCGTTGTTTCCCTTATGGTACAGTAGAACACCCAAAACCAGCCAAACCCATAGTCATTCGTGACAAAACACTCCACTCCCAAAGTCCGTTTGTGCCACCGCGCCGTGGGGTGGATCGCGTCATGGCCCAAGAAAGATTCGTAACAGACATGCAAGAAAACAACGCTTAACCACCGAAACCGTAGAGGGTGCGGCCTTGGCGCTTCAGCGCGTAGACGACATCCAGAGAGGTGACCGTCTTGCGCTTGGCGTGCTCAGTGTAGGTGACGGCGTCACGGATGACACCCTCAAGGAAAGACTTGAGGACACCACGAGTCTCCTCGTAGATCACTGGGAAGATGCATATTAGACTCGGTTGCATGTGAGGCGATAGGGTGGTGCAACTTACTGGCAGAAATACGCTTGACACCGCCACGACGAGCGAGACGACGGATCGCGGGCTTGGTGATACCCTGGATGTTGTCACGCAAAATCTTGCGGTGGCGCTTGGCACCGCCCTTGCCGAGGCCCTTGCCGCCCTTGCCGCCTAGAGAAACCGAAGTCAGTATATGTGGGATGGAAAAGAACAAGGTTGGATGCAGGGTAGGCACTTACGTCCAGTCATTGTGATAGAGTGTGATGGGGTTGGAGTAGTTTAAGGTTGAGAAGGGTATGATGAGGCTCTTTGGAAGAGTCGCTTGGGAGAGAGTTGTTTTGGGTGAGATAACGTGGGGCTGAATAACGAGAGGAAACACGATTAGAGACGCGCAGAAGGGGGGAAGACATTTATATCAAAAGAGCGTGGGCCAGGTGAGCTTCGGGATCAGCCAGGAAAAAGCGGGTACGTACCTCGACTTGGATCACACCCTGTCGCGACGCGCAGAGAAAAATAAAAAATAACACAAGGCACCATTTTCGGAGAGGCACAGACCAGCGACAGCCGGTCCGTAACAGGGGGAAATATTTTACGCAGCCAACCAGATCCATCACTTTATTCTACCTAGCCTTGAGTCTTGCTTCCCTTTCCCATCTCGATCCCCCTGGAGGCCCCCTCCTTTATCACACTATGGCGTTGTCGTTTCATTAGCACAGTTTGCCTGCATTGCTATATGGATGGCATCGGCTTGGGGTGCCCAGGCAAAGGTTTGTGTGTACTAGGCACCGTGACTGGGAACGCTACAGTACTTCATACCCCAGTTGTTCCTTTCCCGCCCAAAGTAGATCGACGCAGCGCAGAGCTGACGCTCAGATGGCTGGGATCTGGGGCATCGCCATCCATCTCGCCATCCTATCCACCCACCAGTGATAAACTGCGGCAGCTCGTCCAAATTATAGCATGTAGCATGCATACTCAATCAACGGACACTGGACAATTTACATAGCGATCGCCAAGGAACTGGCATTGTTCGTAAATCACAATGTACACATTGCACTGGCAGTTGGCGCCCACACCGAGCTCGAGTTAGTGATTACCTATGCTATGCGTTGTCGCGTGTGCGGCAGTTCAACGGCAGTCTAGATGATGGGGTCACCGTTGCCACATCGCGGATGGGGGTCATGGATGGGACAGCCTACGGAAGAGAGGACAAACCGAGACCGGAAAAAAAAGGGTGACAAAATGCAGGCCCCATCAATAGCATCGTCCGAGCCCTCCCGCCTTATCGACGCATGCAGGTACTTTGCAAACATGTCGAATCCACGCGTTGGCCGCGCTTTAAGTGTAGCTCGCGTGAACAGGGTCCATAACGCAGATTTGTGAGTTCCGGGCCCGTCGTGTTCGTCATGTTCCGTATCGACTGTCGGTGTCACTCACTGGCCAGCCGGTTCGAGACTCAGGCATCTAGTCTCGACCCCCCTCAGTCGCGTAGGGATGTGAGATGCTCTCGTCGATACCACGTCGCGTCTGAGTTGTCGCCGAATTTTCTGCCACTGGGGGGACTTGAGGGAGGAAGAACGAATTATGGGGCAAAAAGCATAACTGTTCACTTGATCACTTGCTGAAAAAGCTGGGTACCTAGGCCTAAGAGCAAGGGCATGCTTGGCGGTAACAGCACTAACATTAACTGGGAATTATCCTGCTTAAATTACCATATTGAATAAAATGCAACAAGCAATACTTCGGCGGAAAAAAGACTATTTGCACATTAAAGATAAAGAACAAAAAAGCTAACTAGTGAGAGGATGACCGCGTTTGGAGGACGCTACAGGATAGTCTCACTTTCAGTCGCGTAAAGCTGTCGCGTAGGGCAGACGAGGCAGGCACCTGCCGCATCCCGCATTTCCCACAGACAGGGAACGGAAGGCGGAAACTTGGATGGACACCTCTTGCTTGCATGGGGATGGCACTCGGGTGACAAAAGACAGCGCCGGTTGTTTATTAGGGGAGTTGCAGTCAAGGCCATGCCTTCCTACTAACAGAAGTGCAATAAAAATGAAGAAAATCTCCTAGAGTACTCCAATGGCTTTCCAATTGATTTCTTTTTTTTCCCCTCACAAAATCGGTAGATTTGATGGGGTTTCTTGCTGATGGAAAAGTTGGCTCGATTCGACATCCGGCGCTGTTTTTTGTCACCCGAGTGGATGGAAAAGACACTGCAGCCTGCGGACACTGACAGTGACACACTCGAGTCGATTGCACTCAAGGTGGGACGCTAGAAGTGGACCGCCCAGGACCGCTAGCCAAGGATACGTACCGCGCTTGCCAGGTGCTTGGGAGAAAAAGATGGGGTGGCGTCACAGATGTTGCAAGATTTCCAGCCAATCAAAAATCGGCCACCCATGCGTTGGAACAACAAAGCGCAAAATTCCGCCCACTGCACCCAGTGCACCCGTCTTTTTTGCAAAGCAATCGCGCCTGCCAAAACGGCATTTTTCCAAAAAAGCACCCACGCACCCACGCGGACAAGGCAGGCACGCACAGGCCACCTTCCTTTTGGCGCACAATCACTCCCCTCTGCCGCCAGCCCAGTTTCCTACCTATTTATTTCCCTCCGCCCTCCACCCACTCCTCATCCTTCTCTTCTACATCCACTCACAACACATCCACATCCAGCAACCAACCAACTCCATCAACACCAAAACAAACTCATCAACTTTCATCATCACAACCAGTCGCAATGGCCCGCACCAAGCAGAGTAAGCATCTTTACCTCGCTGCTTCGCATAGCATTTTACTGACTCCCGCACAGCCGCCCGTAAGTCCACTGGTGGCAAGGCTCCTCGCAAGCAGCTCGCCTCCAAGGCCGCCCGCAAGAGCGCCCCCTCCACCGGAGGTGTCAAGAAGCCTCACCGCTACAAGCCCGGTACCGTCGCTCTCCGTGAGATCCGTCGTTACCAGAAGTCCACCGAGCTTCTGATCCGCAAGCTCCCCTTCCAGCGCCTGGTAAGCACCTGTCATCATACAGCGCATCAAACTACATTTACTGACAAGCCTTGTGAAGGTCCGTGAGATTGCCCAGGACTTCAAGTCCGACCTCCGCTTCCAGTCCTCCGCCATCGGCGCCCTCCAGGAGTCCGTCGAGTCCTACCTCGTCTCCCTCTTCGAGGACACCAACCTCTGCGCTATCCACGCCAAGCGTGTCACCATCCAATCCAAGGACATCCAGCTCGCCCGCCGCCTCCGCGGTGAGCGCAACTAAGTGCACTGTCTTTCGATTTTCTCTTTTCATGGGTGGTTTACGACTCGCGTTTGGGAATGCTTGACGAATGGACCGTCTTGGTTTTGGGGGTAATCTGGCGTTTACAATGCGTTGAAGAATAACGCAAGGGTTGTACATTACACGGCAGTAAAGGATGACTGCATTCAATGGCAAACACATTATGAACTACCTAGCCTCCCGCACTTTTGTCCGTGATCCTACCGTCGCATTTGCTGCTGCACAAGCGCATTCCGCGGACGCGCACGCGCACGCGCTGGCCGACTCATATAGGCATCCCGCATCGCGTCGCGACTGGCAGCTGCCTACACCGGCCCATCCAGTCGCTCTCGATATGTTTGACACTGTGAGCATGCCTTATCGATTGACTGCACGTGTGAAGTTGAACGCCGACCGACCATCACCAACGCCTACCGTTGCTGATCGTCAATAGAGTCAATCCAGTCCAGCGAGCGCTTCAGCACACCAAACACGATCCGAGGAATGATATAGACTATAGACTCATGGAGCAGGAAGAAAGAGGAAGATAGAATGTGACGTCGCACATCCGTTCGGGTTCTGTCGTCTTTGACGGTCTTGATCCATGCATAGATGATACTGCCGGATGACAACAGGATCGCTGAGCCAGTACGCAGCCACTTAACTCTCTTACCGTGCCGCATCGCCATACTTCATCACGACTGCAACACTCTTGCCAGTCTGGCAGTCTCGGACGGAGGTAGGAGAATAACCCGCTCACTTGCGCGGGCGATGGCATGCGTCCTTCTGCTAATTCATCACGTCTCTATTTGTTTTGGTTGGGCGCCTTCACTGTCGGGCAGGCTGACTCAGACCGGAACCTTTCGGCCACACTCTCGGGGGTTTGCGTTGGGTTTCAAGTAAGATAAGCATTCGCTCGACCCAAACAACCAGTCCAAGGCGTTGAGAGCGACTACACTGAGCAGGCCGTTTGGAGATTCATTCTAGAGAGAGTTGTTCAGTGCGTAGAAAAAAACCCTTCACTATCTACACATGGATCCTGGCGAGAGATGATGTTCGACAAAGTCCCGTATCGTACAGTGGAACTGCGAGATGCGCTCGAGCTGCAACTAGTCGCTCGTCAAGTCAGTCGCCGAGACTAGGAGGGAAGGCATCTACTGTTCGATTCATCTCATTGACATCCCTTTAAAATATTCGTGCGAGGCCCTGGGTTTATTACAGCTCACATCGATCGGCCCTTTACATACTCTTCGCAAGCGCCCAGAAGTTTTCCATCTTGGCCCGAGCCAACGCGTCTTTGGCCTCGGCGTCGGACTCGCAGACCTTGTTCCCCCACTTGCGGAACGCCCTCGTTTTCTCTTCGCCCTCGAAGACCAATTTGCACTCGTTGTGCGACATGTCCTTGAGGTCTCCCTTCTCGTTCTCCGCCACCAGCCATTCGCGCACCTGCTGCTGTGTCTTGCCCTCCCGCGACGGCGTGTTTTCCGTCCAGTCGATGCGATCCAGCATGAGTTTCTTGTACTTGCGGATGCTGTGTTCGCCTCCTTCCACGATGACAAGGTTCATCTTGGGGTGCATGACGCAAATCCCCGTGAGTGCGTGCTGCTCGGCGTTCTTTTGAATCTTGAACCGGTGCTGGCCGTTTGCAAGACTGTTGATCTTGAATACCAATACATGGATACCCTTGGCGGCATCCTTTTCCTGGTTTGTGGCGAGCTTGTCGTGCTTCTCTTCCTTGGTAAGCTTGCGCTCCTCGTTGGCCTGCAGGTGGTTCTGCTGGCGTTCCGCAATCTGACGGTTGACGAGGTTCTCCACGGCCGTTGGATCCTTTACTGCTGAATCTGCATAGACACGCATCATGTTGCTCTTCTTGACCTTGGGAGGTGGTGCTGGCACCAGCCCAAGCCTGATCTTTGCCTGCTGTTCCTTGAGCTCCGCCATTCTTCTCTGTCTCCTGAGTTTTTTCTGCTCTTTCGACGTGAGGTACATCGGCTTCACTGCCGGTGTGTTCTTCTCCTGTGGTGGCTCCAGCGCGACGGGGTGCTGGATGTACTCGGTGACAATCGTGTCTTCTTTGTCGATCTTGAGACGGGACTCGTCGTCGATGTTGTCGTACGTGCCGTCCACAAGCCCCTCGTCGAACCATTCGATATCCGGAGGGGCCTCGACAACGAGGTTCTTCTCCATGTCCATCTCATCTTCGATGCCGGCCTTCCTGGTCTGTGCAGCAATCCGTTTCTTCATTTCCTCCAGGGCCGCCTGCCGCCGCAGCGCCGCAGCCTGCTGGATGAACTTGCCCTTGGGATGGAAGTGTAGCGGCCGAGCCTGTCGTTGTTTTCCGCCTGCGGGTTGCGCTGCTAGTTGCTCGTTGAAGTACGGATTCGATTGCGAGCCGTCGCGCCCGCGGCCCGCTGCGTCTGGCGTCCTGTAGCCAGATACGTTCGCCGAGCTGACATCAAATTGTGAGCGGTTGCCCGATGGTTTCGCATCGCTTGTTCTGCCTGGAGGCTTTGCCTGGCCGAGACCCTCGAGGACTGGGTGCAACCCGACATTGAGACCTCCTTTTGCTTTGGTACCCCCGATCGCCGCTGCGACTCTTGCTTTGAGTGCAGCCATTTTATCAGCAGCCGATTCGGGCTTGGATACGCGGGAATTCGGGTCATGACGGGGCCCAAGGCCCGTCGAGTCTGGCCGCCGGTCCATCGTGGTGATGCGGAGATGCTCGAAGGATTGAAGCGAGCGATGTGAAAGTCTCTCAGCAAATCGGGGAATGAGAAAAACGGTGTAATCCAGAAGGGCCCGACACTCGCGATGTTGATGGGCTACTCGGGTCTGCAACGCAAGCGAGGCTGTCGCCGATGTGGTTGGTCGCAGAGCGAAACAGCAGATGCAAAGTGTGTTGACGTTGGCGGGATTGCCGCTGCGGATATGCTGCAACAGACTGACAAACCCGAAGATGGAATAGCGGGTAAGAAGACGTCGCGTTGTTGGCAGCTTTCGTGGATTGTCGAGGCAGACAGAAGCGCGTTGTCGCCTGTTGGTGTCTCGTCTTGTTTGGTAGTCAACGAAAGGTAAGGTCGTGTAGGTACCTACATTCCCTGGCCCGCTTGGTTGTAAAGCTCCTGCAGTGGCTCTCTTCATAGCCTGGTTGGCTGGTTTTGCCTTGGCGCCTGGCGGCGGAGCCAGTTGTCTGAGCGTTCCGCCTGCAGCAGAAAAGGGACCCGCAAAAGGCGGGTCGTTCATTTTTCTGCCGGCTGCCACCGCTAAAAAAAAGTTCCCCTCGGCCTCCCATCCACCGGCCGCTGCTACTCTCGACCGTCCGCCCCGGCCTTGTTGATTTTGCGATTGACTGCCGTCTTGTACCCGACGCTGGATGGAAAATTTGCTCCCTTCCGCCTCGCCTTCTGTACGGACCCAGACTGGTGTCAGGCTCATTTTCTGAAGCCTCGCCGGCACCATGAATATCTCTCAACCCATCTCGTCGTCTATCGAGACAGTCGAGTTCACATTCCTTACCGACGAAGAAATCAAGGCGATCTCCGTCAAGCGTATCGAGAACGACAGCACCTTCGACAACCTTCTTAACCCTGTTCCCGGCGGTCTCTACGATCCGGCTCTTGGATCATGGGGCGATGCTCTGTACGCAAACGCCCACAATTCCCTTATTCTTTGCTTCCATTGACTTACACATCCTTCACAGCTGCGCCACCTGTAACTTGAACCAGTCTTCGTGCCCGGGCCACGCCGGCCATATCGAGCTCCCCGTTCCCGTCTATCACCCAGTCTTTCTCGACCAGGTCCTACGTCTTCTGCGATCGCAATGTGTCTATTGCAAAGGTTTCCGCATGCGCCACCGCGAAATCAACCGCTACTCGTGCAAACTCCGACTCCTGCAACATGGTCTCCTTCACGAGGCTCACCTGGTCGATGCCATTGGCGAAGAGCTCAAGGGTCTCGCCCTGCCTGGTGTTCCTACCGACTACGAGAGCGAGGCTGAAGAAGAAGGCACCTCCTCCGTCGACAACATTGTCGGCGCGAGGGAAGCCTACGTGCGCCAGGCGCTCAAGTCGCATAAGCTCAGTCTCGGTGAAGTCAGGAAGGGCAAGCATGAAGGTGCCATTGAGATGCGCAGAGAACTGATCAAGGATTTCTTGACGCAAATCACCAAGCCGAGGCGATGCGACAACTGCGGCGGCATATCTCCCGCCTACCGCAAGGATCGCTTCGTCAAGATCTTTGAAAAGGCCCTCAGCGAGAGGGATCTTGCTCAGATGGCCCAGAGAAACCTGCACGTCAAGGACTCCATGGCGACAGCAGCTCGCGCCCGCAAGTCCAAGTCTAAGCGCGGCGCCGCCGATGCCGACGAGGGCGTTGCCGACGTTGACATGACTTCAGCGGAGGAAAACGACGTCGAAATGCGCGATGTCAGTGGCGACGAGCTGGACCTGGCGGATAAGGAAGACGAATCGCGAGCCGATGCTGTCGCTGTCGCTCCCGGTCAGCAGCGCTACATCAGCGCAATGGAGGTTCGCGCACGTCTGCGGGAGCTATTCGAGAAAGAGCAAGACATCATGTCGCTGGTGTACAACTCGAGACCAATGACCAAGAAGGCCGCTAAGGTATCAGCGGACATGTTCTTTATCCGAACCATTCTCGTCCCGCCCAACAAGTATCGGCCCGAAGCCCGAACCGGCGATTCCCAGATCTCCGAAGCCCAGCAGAACTCTCTGTACAAGATGATCATGCGAAACTGCGGCAACATTGCCAGGATACATCAGAGCGTCGGGTCTACGGACCAGTACGGAAGGCCGAGAGACATCACCGATCTGCACCAAGTATGGACAGAGTTGCAAGAGTCTGTCAACTCGCTGATCGACAAGAGCAAGAACCCTGTTCAAGGCGCAGCTGCGAAGAGAAACGAGGACGGCATCAAGCAGAAGCTGGAAAAGAAGGAGGGTCTCTTCCGAAAGAATATGATGGGAAAGCGAGTCAACTTTGCAGCCCGAAGTGTCATTTCGCCCGACCCCAACATCGAAACCAACGAGATTGGTGTGCCCCCCGTTTTCGCGCGCAAACTCACCTATCCCGAACCGGTGACGAGTCACAACTTCAGAGACATGCAGCAAGCCGTCATCAACGGTGTCGACAAGTGGCCGGGAGCGGCTGCCATTGAGTACGAGAATGGTCAAATCGTCAACCTTCGATCCAAATCTGTGGACGACCGTGTGTCCCTCGCCAACCAACTTCTCGCGCCAACCAACAACCAGGTGAGCGGCATGAAGAGCAAAAAGGTGTACCGGCACCTGACAAACGGCGATGTCGTCTTGATGAACCGTCAGCCAACGCTACACAAGCCGTCCATCATGGGCCATCGGGTCCGTGTGCTGCCCGGGGAGAAGACCATTCGCATGCACTATGCCAACTGTAACACGTACAACGCCGATTTTGACGGAGATGAGATGAACATGCATTTCCCACAAAACGAAGTCGCCAGAGCAGAGGCTCTTCAGATTGCTGATACGGACCATCAATACCTGTCGGGCACGGCCGGCAAGCCCCTTCGTGGTTTGATTCAGGACCATCTTTCGGTCTCCGTTGCCCTCTGTAACAAGGATACCTTCTTTGACCGCGACTCCTATCAACAGCTTATCTACTCGGCTCTCCGCCCGGAGAGTGGCCACATTCTCGGAGAGAGGATCGAACTTCTTCCCCCGGCAGTAATCAAGCCCAGACCCAGATGGACAGGAAAGCAGGTCGTCAGCACAATCCTCAAGAACATCAAGCCACCCAACGGAGAAGGCCTTTGGATGACTGGAAAGTGTCAAGTCAAGGCTGAACAATGGGGCAAGAGTCATGCAGAAGAAGGCAGCGTTCTTTTCCAGGACGGGCAGTTCCTGACGGGTATTCTTGACAAAGCTCACCTGGGCCCCAGCTCGGGAGGTCTCATCCACTCCATCCATGAAATTTATGGCCCCGCCGTCGCGGGCAAGCTGCTCAGTGGCATGGGTCGACTCCTCACCAGATACCTGAACATGCGGGCCTTTACTTGCGGCATGGACGATCTGCGACTCACATCAGAGGGCGAGCACGCTCGACGGGAGGCCTTGAAGGCGGCCAAGAACATCGGTCTTGAGGTCGCGACCAAGTACGTCTCACTCGAAGACAAGGCGCCCAACAGCACAGACCCGGAGCTTCTCGTCCGCCTGGAGGAGGTCATGCGAGACGATACCAAGCAGGAGGGTCTCGATATGCTCATGAACCAGAGCTCTGGCAAGGTTTCAAGTGCGGTTACGGCAGCTTGCCTGCCTGTCGGTTTGGTCAAGCAGTTCCCCAAGAACCAGATGCAGTCGATGACAACTTCTGGTGCCAAGGGTAGTCAAGTCAACGCAAACCTCATCTCTTGCAACCTGGGACAACAAGTTCTTGAGGGCAGGAGAGTTCCTCTCATGGTTAGCGGAAAGTCTCTGCCATGCTTCAAGCCCTTCGAGACGGATGTGCGTGCCGGTGGTTACATTGTTCAACGTTTCTTAACTGGAATCCGACCCCAAGAATATTATTTCCATCACATGGCTGGTCGTGAGGGCCTGATCGATACTGCTGTCAAGACTTCTCGCTCGGGTTATTTGCAGAGATGTATCATCAAGGGTATGGAGGGACTGACGGTGACCTACGACTCGACGGTGCGAGATGCGGATGGTACCCTTGTGCAGTTCCTTTACGGCGAAGACGGTCTCGACCCGACCAAGCAGAAATACCTCACCGACTTCAGCTTCGTTCTCCGCAATGTTGGGTCAGAGTCGGCCCAGCTCAATTTCAGCAACGGCTTCAAGGAGAAGCTTGCCGGCAGCAAGGACGAAATCCTCAAGCACATGAAGAGCGCCATCAAGCACGCCAAGCTTAACAGTGCTGCCGCCAAGGATCCCATCATTTCCATGGTCAACCCGGCAAGAGTGGCATTTGCCACATCGGAGAAGTTCTACGAGCAAATGACCAAGTACATCAAGGACAACAAGGACGGCCTCATTCGCGACAAGTCGGCTGCCCCGTCTGGTTTGATCAACGCCCCCGCCGTCAGCAAGAAGTCGGCAGAGCTTGTGTTCGCTGCCAAGTACATGCGATCGCTGGTCGAGGCGGGTGAAGGTGTCGGTATTCTTGCTGGCCAGGGTGTGGGAGAGCCCTCGACACAGATGACACTCAACACCTTCCATTTGGCGGGTCACTCGGCAAAGAACGTCACGCTTGGTATCCCTCGTCTCCGTGAAATCCTCATGACAGCGAGTCGATCCATTTCCACCCCGGCCATGACTCTGCTTCTTCACGAGGAGCTTTCCGCGGCCGAGGGAGAAGTATTTGCAAAGTCGATCAGCATCCTGCCCCTGGCTGATGTGCTCGACACAGCGACCGTCAACGAGCGCATCGGCAAGGGCAACAACGGTGCTCTGGCCAAGCTCTACGACGTGCGGCTCAATTTCTTCCCCGCCAAGGAGTACACCAAGGCCTACGCCATCGACACCACTGATGTCATGGACACAGTTGAAAAGCGATTCCTGGACCACCTCTTGAAGATCATGGTCCGCGAGATCAAGAAGCGCCGCAGCGACTCCACCTCGGCGACGCCTGATGTTGGTGTCAAGGCGGGCGTCGTGGAGATGGCGAGCGGCAACAGCGAGGCAAGAGCTGCCAACGACGATAACGACGACGATGACGATGACGGTGACGGCGACGCTACGAACGCCAAGAACAAGGCGAACCGGGAAGAGGCTGTGTCGTATGGCCCCAACGACGACGAGGACGATGCAATCCAGCAACAGATGGAACGCGAGAACTCTCCCGAAGAAGACGAAGGTTTCGAAGGCAGCCCGCCGCCGCGGGCCGATCAGGACGGCTCGGATGATGAGGAGGAGGATGGTGACGGCGATGCGGACAGCGACGAGGGCGCCTTGAGAGCTGAGCGCGTCAAGGACCGTTATCTCCGCGTCACCAAGTTCCGCAACGACGAGGCAGGAGAATGGTGCGAGTTTACGCTCGAGTTCGAGGCCAACACCCCCAAGGTCCTCATGCTCAACATTGTGCAAGCGGCCGTCAAGAAGTCGGTCATCCAGCAGATACCTGGTGTCGGCTCGTGCACATTCACGGCGGACCATAAGATCACGGACTCTGAGGGCAAGGATGTGTCCGTGCCGGCGATCTACACGTCAGGATGCAACCTCAAGGCCATGCAGAAGTACGGCGACTTCATCAACCCCAACAAGATTGCGACCAACGACATTGGCGCCGTGCTCGACGTGTATGGCGTGGAGGCATGCCGAAACAACATTGTCTCCGAGTTGGCAGGCGTCTTCAGCGGTCACGGCATCAGCGTCGACAACCGCCACTTGAACCTCATTGCCGACTACATGACGCGCAATGGCGACTACACGCCCTTCAACCGCAACGGCCTGCGTGGCAACGTAAGCCCCTTCACCAAGATGAGCTTCGAGACGACGCTGGCCTTCCTGAAAGATGCCGTTCTCGATGGCGACTGGGACGATCTCAGAACACCCAGTGGTCGTATTGTCATGGGCCGCCTGGGCAAGATTGGCACGGGCGCCTTTGACGTCTTGACAGCGCTGCCTACGCACCACATGTCGTCCAACGTGGAGTAAGCCGAACCTTTCGGCTGCTTGTGTCTATCGTGTTTTCTGTTCTGGGAGGCTGGGGTTTGTTAGGGCATGCTCTTTTGGCCAATAATTGTATTTACTGTCTGGGATTGATAGAGGCAACGTGACCTGAAAAGTAATTGGCATGATTCACCAAGATGTTTGATCATACGCCTGGCAGTTCAATGGACGTGATGTGCGTGTGAACCGACGGCCGATGCCCACGACAACAGTAATGCCACCGGCGTACCGGGGGAGCCATGGTGCCGAAGGGCAGGTAATGGCCAGAGTAGCAGGAAGTCTTTGCAGTGGCCCATGACCATTGGGGAGCGGGCATGGCGATATCGACCCATTCATACCCGCAAGTCAAGTTGATGGAGAGGTTGTATGCCACTGGCGGATATATGAAGCAACCTGGTCGTCTCCTGTTGGGATTGGAGCAGCGTTTGCACGCCCATAACTCTCTCATCGGAATTGTGTCGCCCCTTGCCATTCAAAGGCCTTGTTCGGAGGGTCCTATCCAAACGGTCATGAGCTGCAGCAGGCAGGCTTACTTTCTGATTTTGGACACTCCACTAGGATCAACCAAACTTGGTGAGCACGCAAGGTCCGCCCTCAAGCCCAGTGTCACCCAGCCGTGGCACATGAGGGGCCGTCAGGAACCCCCAAGGGCATGTGTACGTCCCAGGACCTAGCCCCAGATCGCACCAGACACTAACGAGTGCAGCCGCAGCCGAGGAGGCTGCTTTGCCCGACGACTGCACAGGCGGCCGGGGGCTTTGTGCCGATCTCCAGGATGACGGCCCGCTCTCTCGTCAGATAATAGTAGGGGCGTGTGTACGAATGGAAGGTTGCGTGCTTGTGCTCTGATGCAAGTGTTAAGTGAGACTCGCGTCATCCACGCCATCCACTCGGACGGGTTTCGTGAAAGGATTTTCAACTCGAGCTGCCATCAAGGCAAAGTTGCTCGGCGTTGAAGGGGTGTTGCCCAGCATTACTGGCGGAAATGGCGGTAGGATGCGGGAGCTGTAATGTACCGTGCCTCGTCAGTAGGGATGACATGGCACACGCAACCCGTACCCAGTGTGCCGGCGAATGCATCGCTCCAGCCCTACCAGGCAACACACCCGAGACACTTGGGAGCGGGAAGGGGGTGAACGGCGTGGAAAGGGTGGACCATACGAGGCCGACGACCCTGTGTGGAAGGGGTGGGCGTGGCAAGCGGCCAGGCGAACGCGTCGCATCTACCTTTCCTCGGCTGACCGATATGCGGGTTACGTTGATGGCACTGTGACAATCTGTATGCAGGCGACCTTCCGCGGCTTCGCGACACAGCAAATCGCGGAGACGATAATAAGCGCTGGGGGAGACGAGAAAGTGCAACGCTACCGCGTTTGGGGGCGGTAAATGGGCACCTGGTGCATCATGCAGACACCCCTCCGGCTGACCGCTCGGTTCTGCGCTGAAGAGGACTACTATGGATCACAAAGGCAACGGGCAACTTCGAAAACCTGTCGCAGCCGGGAATGGGCCGCGCAAGGAGAACGAGACAAGCAATGATCCGCCGTGGGACCGAGACTGAACGGGATCTGAGAGTGAGACAGGTTGCAGGACATAAGGCCAGAGACATTGGTGCACTCTGCTTCACCTGGGGCTATGTAGACGAGGCATATTGGAGACGTATTCCTTGGCCATTGTCGGTTGTAGGATTGAGAAGGATGAGAGGCCCCCCCCGTAGTGATTTTGCGTTTTCGACCGGCCGGGTTGTTGCGAGTCCTCTGTATGCCTTGCAGCGTTTGCTAGCGCATCGTCTGGTCTCGGCTCATTGCTGTCGGCCCTGGCTGGCTTTCCATATGTGGCGACGACGCTTGAGGTGGGGACGTTGACATGACCAGTGCAGAGCGGTACCGAAAGAAGCAGTCGAGATTCGCGATGGTTGTTCTTATTGTGATTGCGTTAGCTGAAGCAAGGTGCATTGGCATAGGCACTGTTCACGGCCGGACCTGATTGTGAGGATGATCCTAGCAGAGAACGGGATGGTTCGTTAATCTGAGGAACAGGTCAGAAGGGCCAACAGAGACCAACCTACTACTGGCACTGTGGAGTGGCTCGACGGCCGGTGTCCCCCCCGATGCGACGCTGCACCAACAACCACAAGTCTTCCAGCGTGCAATTCAGGATACTCTGTATCCGCAGGTACCGCAGTTGTTGGAAGAAGAGGCCACAATGAAGACGAAGACACGGCATGAGAGCCCAAGTTCCTTAACCTTGACCGTCCAAGTGCGCAAGTCCCCCGCCTTGCCCAACACAGCCCCGCCGAGACCGAGGAGGCGAATCAAAAGGGTCTCCTTTGCGATTCCAGCGACCGGGGCGAGGGGGGGGTTCTGTGAGATACCCATTACAACGTGCCATCTGTCTGCACGCGGTTGGAAATATCCTGCGTGTTTGGGGAATACATGGGAAGCGATGAAGAAGACATAGACAAATCAAAGTGCATGAGGCAACAGGGACCAATCGGTAAGGCGACACGAGAACAGGATGGTTCGCCAGCGCGACCACAATGTCGGCCATATCTACTCACCGGATCTGTTCAACCTGCGGAGGCCTGTCACCCTGGCATATTGTTGATTGACTCGTAAGGGGTTCGTACCAAGACAGCAACCATCTCACTTGTCGCGTGGATGGTGACTCGATGAGCGTGTCAGAGGATTGTGGTAGGGTGTCGTTTGGCGTACGTACGAACAAATGAATGCAGGACGGTTGTGACGAGGAAGCGGCCGGTGGTTTGTCTCCAGTCCCCAAGTGCCAACCAGACACACCCAGAGCAGGCATTGCCGCATTTGGGGCCAAGTCGGGATACGTACTGACAAACTGTTTGCAAAGTCCCTGGTTCAGGGGCAGGGGGTCGAGTCCAAGGCCCATCCTTTTACATAGTAAGCTCACCCCGAGGTCCCCTAGCATTTGCTGGCCCCAGCTCCCGAGCTCCCGGTCCCACTAGGTACACTCAGATACGTACGATTGACGGATACCTACCTCTCTTTGCCCTCCCCCGCTCACATCTAGTGTGTGTGTGTACAGAAACACAACTAGACAAAGCACTCTTGAGTGGTTGTTGCACTGGGATCTCGATCAAGAGTGCAACTCATGCCATTAACATCATCGACGCTGCGACCCTCCACCAACCTCACCCAACACGTAGCCTGGCGCTTGTTTTGGCCAATCGCATGCTTGCCGTTCGACCCTGTGGTCGGTGATGGAGGGTAGCGGAGCAAAGGTGGTTCCCTCCCTTTCCATGTAGAAGTGTACCACGCAGTACGAGCCTAGATCCGTCAGATAGAGACCTGCCTTTAATCGTATCTCCTGCGGCGGGACGGACGCAGTGCAGCACCACCCTTCGCAGTGGTCCCGGCTGGCCTTCTTTCGTCCTGTCTGACTAAGACATACCAAAGTTTGCTGGAGCTGTGCTTTTCTCCAGTCTAATTTTCCTCCCTAGGGCTCTCTCCCTTCCCATGGCCCCGACGTCTGAGATGCAGTACACAAACGCCCTCGGGCAAGAGTTGACCATGAACGTCCCCGGTACCATGCTCCTCTGCAGAGATGTGTTGGGCGAAGCTGTAAGCGCAGCCTTGTAGAATCAATATTCCCTAGTCCTAATCAACTCGACCAAGCACGTTCCATCATTGCAGTGTTATGCCGTGCCCCCTGACGCTTCAACGCCGTAACCCAGGTATCTCCGCAGTAAATGTTCTTGTGCATGCAAAAATCGAATCCTCCCCCCAAGCCGTTCCAGTTGGTGATACATGTCATATGCGTGGGACGTGCCCCCCAGTCTCCCACATCCTGCACATGTGTAGTGCGGTCGTGTTTCCTTCCAGCCTTGACTGGTCAAGAGGCGTCGAGAGCACCAGTCCATCATCGTTGCCAGCTGTCGCTATGTGCCCCATCGCTTGTCCCAGACATGACGCTCCTACCTCTGCTTGCAGAAGATTCGGGATGCAATAGGCCACTGCCGCTGCCCATGGACATGGTGATGGGCGGGAGAGGACCGGACCCCGGTCCCATGGGATGCATCGGCGTTCCCATGCTGCGGCTGGCTGACCCCATGCCTTCGTAGCCATCGACGCGCAGGTCACAGGTGCCAACATCGAAGCGTTTGGAGCATCCGTCCTCCATGTGTCTAGAGTCAAAGTCAGCTCAAGTCTTCGGAGCTAACCGGCATCGCCGCCAGCCACCTCAACGTACCTGCGAAGCGTGTCCTTGCGAGCAAAGAGTCGCCCACAGTAGTCGCACCTGTGGTTCTTCTCCTTCATGTGAACGCTCTGGTTGTGTCTCTGAAGATCCGTCTTGCGAACAAACCGCTTGTTGCAGTCGGCTACGGGACAGGGGAAAGGGTACTCCCGCTTCTCGTCGTGTGTATCCAGATGTGCCTTGTAGTTGTAGCTGCGGCTGAAGAGCTTGCCACATCCTTTGACTTGACACTGGTATTGGGCATCGGCAAAGGATGTCATCTTCCGCGGCGCCCGCTTCGGGCGGCTGTGCTTTGTGTCTTCTGCACGCTTTCCCTCTTGACTTGGGGCTGAATCGCCTGCTGGCGGGTTCTGATAGTATTGCTCGGCGCCGTATTCGACCTTGGACCAAGTTGGAGACTGGGTGTCTGACAGGTAGTGTTGATGTGAGCCGCTGTACGGGCCTGAATCCGTCATGTATGGTGCCTGCATCGACCGGGGAGAGGCGTAGTGCGAGGCGTCGATTCCGGATCCATAGTCGTTAACGTTTTCCATCTTGATCCTTGGGCCCAGCGAGCTCGAAGCATGTCCACCTTGCGCATAAGAGAAAGAGCTCCTAGAAGATGACGGTCCAGGCGAGCGTCCGGGCGATTCCGGAAGAGAATGCGCGTGATGGCCCGGGCCAGATGCGTGGGAGTGCGCCGGCGGGAACGTTTCGGATCCGTACGACGCCGGCATCGGTGGGTCATAGTCGGCAAACTGGTCGTATTCTGACAACACATTCGGAATGGAAAAGGACGAGGAGGATGGGGCCATGGCGTTTGAAGGAGCCCAGTCGGCTGCTGTTCGGGGGTCCAAAGGCGGCAAAGAAATGTCGGCGTCGGCTGCCAGGCCTGCAGAGCACAGTTGACCGGCGGCGTACAACGAGGTGATTTTATACTGTTGAGCTGCCAGGTCCGGAGATGGGTAATCCAAGGAAGAGCGCTCCGATGGGCAGTAGGTGTGAGCTGGAGATGCCGGCGAACGTGTCAGAGATGGTGGTGTTAGGTCCATGACTGGGTTGGCCACAGCTGTTTCCCGCTCCTTTATCGACTTCCCCCGGGGGCTTTGTTGGACGCCGAAGTTCGGTTTATATACCGACAGGGCGTTGGAGCAAGACGCAACAAGGAGCTGCGAGGCGAGGGGGAGTGGAGGATTCCCGGTTGGGACTCGGGTGGGTTTGTGTGAGTGGGAGGAGTGTGTGGATAAGTCCAGATCGGGAGGATTGCGTTTCTGATTGGCAACCTTGTCCAAGAAGGCTGAAGGACAGAAGGTAAGACGGGGAAGGAGACGGTTATAAAAGAATCTGTTCAGGTCTAGGTCGGGGCCAAGTCAAGGCAGCAAACCAGGAGACGGCAAGGGTTGTGCTGGAAAGTGGAGTGTATCAAGCAACGGAGTGTACGGGTGCGCGTAGAACAAGACGAGTAGTGCAGGGCAGGGGAGAAATAAGGTAAGTAAGTACTCGGAAGATGGCAGCAACCCGGTCAAGAGGCTCCGTGGGTGGATAAGGCTAATGGGCCCAAGGGACTTGATCGTCACGAGCAGGGTTTGGGTGTCTGGAGGGTCGAGAAGAGACGAGAGAGCAAGGCAGACGGGGCTCGTTTGTCCTGCATCATGAGAGGCAGAGTCTGGTACGTTTTATATGGTCTCTCACGGTCCCAAGCTCTTGCTTCTGCCTGGCCATATTGGGAGGCAGAACGACTCGTTTGCAAGGTAACATGGCCAGACAACAAGACGCCGCAGTGCATGTACGGATATAGCACAAGCCGATGGGATGATGGAGGAAGAACGGTTGGGTGACAAGCGAGTGACAACTGGCATCAGCAGAGAGAGCAACGCTGAAGATGTGGATCAGCAGCCCGTGTATTTCTGGCAACTCAAGACAGAGTGCGGGAGTGTGAGCAAGATGCGGACGAATATGCCAAAATCAAGTAGAGCGAGCCCATTGATAGAAACCAGCAAACGGGAGAACCGAGGGGGGGCGGCAGCAGCAGCAGGACAAGCGGACTAGAATGGAGGGCCGCGTTGATGGTTGGACCGTCCCGCAAAGGATTCGACCAGACCTGGCTCCAGCCAGGGAGGGGTATCATTGGGGGCGGTGCGAGACGTGGAGAGGAAACTGGGAGGAGGGGGTGAGAGTATGGGAGGGATGGTGCGAGCGAGGTGAATATGGGGCATGAAGGAGGAAATGGGAAGTGATATATTGTAATATGACAGCTACAGACATTCTGGATCTGGACGAGATAGCCCGGAGAAAGGCATAGGCAGAGGGTGAAGAGCGAGAAGATAATGAGACGAACTCCACGGGGGGAGGATCCGAGTCACCCAGTCGTGGCAGCTGAGGGGGATGCAATCGGGTGTTGGTCAATAGCAGCCGGCCGTCCTGATTGTCTTCAACACTCCCTCCCTAGCTGTCCCTTGGGCTGCGGGTGTGTGATGGGCCAGCCCATGGCAAGAAACATGAGAGTGTGAGGGCGACAGAGCTGGGTCCGGAAAGGAAGAAGATGGAAAAAAACAGCTCGTGGGCGGTGGTACGATTAATGCCTGCAGCAGCGCAGGCGACGCACATTCATCCATCCATTCCTGAGCGATGAGTGGTCAGTCCAGCAACTTGGGAACGAGAGAGGGCCTTGCCTAGAGGCTAGGCCAGGATGCAGCCTTTGAGGCTTGACCGGTCACCGGCATCATCTGCGTCAGGGGTCTGGGGAAGGGGGAGCGACACAGGTCTTGGCGCGTAGTTACCAAGGTGCTCTAGATGCGATGGGCAATATTGTGCAGGCCAATGCAGTGCAAACCACGACAGAAGGCCGGCAGCAGGGATCTTTTGCTGGCCTGGGGGTTCCATGGTTGCCTGCCATTCTCTTGAATGACTCCAGCGTCATTTTGTGGTGCATCTTGGTTGGTTTGTCCATCATGTGAGGCGTCTTTCTGCCTTCAGAGACCCCCCATCCCAGCAGAACTCCCTGCTGGGAACTGGGAATGAGGTGCTGGGCCCGTATCCGAAGCCGTAGGTGCCACATTCAACCTGAAGAAACCGTTGGTTCATGATGAAAAAGGAGAAAAAAGTCTTGTCCAGCCGCTGCTGTTGGTGGTTGGAACAACAGGAACCAACCGTTTAATTAAGACTCGCCGGGGAGACTGACCCAGACCGGACGTAGCCCGTGCTTTAAATGGGGCGTCTATCGATCGATTGAGCCACATCGGCCGCGGTGGAGCCGGCCAGTCGAGGTACGTACCTGGCGTAGGTATCTTACTCAGAGTCGAGTAATTGAGGCCGCTCATGGTGTACATCTGGCCATGTACCTCTTCGCCCTTGAGCATGGCGGCCTGGCTTGAACAGCGTCAGTGAGAAGAGAAGGAGACTCGAATCATGCGCAGTACTGTCAGGTCGGTCCCCGCCAGCGAAGAGAAAACAAGCCACCAAATCGATGACAACAGATCAGTGACGGGTGATGGCCAAAACGGTGACAGGCACAATCCTTGGTCCAGGGCCGCTGGCATGAAAGGCTCGATTGGCCGCTCAGGAACGGAGAAGGCTTCTTCGCGCTGCCAAGGTGGAAAAGCCATATGTCTCAATCCTTTGGTGTGTAATTACAACCCCCGCTTCGGACCTGTAGCCGTTGCGCCCACCCGCCTCCTAGCGTTGGCACCGACGCTGGAAGAACCACCACCTGTGCAAAGGCACCTCCAGGAGCTGCGCGCAGCAAGGCAAGGCCGTGTATGACCCCTACCCGTTCCTCAAGGCTTTGCAGGCAGGCTAATGACACCTAACAGTGCTCCAGCTGCCCTATCGAACGGTTGAACGGTAAGCTGAAAATAAAGTGGAAAAGCAAGGTACAGGTACCGGAGTCCATATTGTGTCGCCCCGCGCTGCGACGCTGCCAGGCATCTGCCGTCCAACATGAACTGTATTTCCCACCTTCGCGAACCTGCAAATGGCGGGCCGCCCAACTTTAACCTTGAGGGAAGGTTCGTCGTGGTGCCCCTTGATGCTATGAGAAGAACGATCCCGTCACGTACGCCGGCCTGTCCCAGGACTCGGATTGACACCTAACGTTGCATGGGGATCGAGGAACTCCCAAAAGCAGTTTGTTGTGCTGGGAAACCGAGACAACCAACTCCCTCGAGCCCATTTCCTTACTACCTGACATCTTCCCTACCTACTTTGCGCGCTATCGATGTTGACACCTCGTTGGCCCATCCATTCCATTGGTGGCCGCCCGCGCCCGCACGCCCGTTTGAGTGGCGTCTATATGCTTGCTGCCAATGGCGTTGCAATATATTCTTCTTGTCGAGCAAAGGTTTGAGTTGCCTGAGCCTCCAATCAAATCATTGGGAAACCAGGACAAGCACCGAAGGACACAAGCCTCACTCAACCTTGGCTGTCAGCAACGCGCTCACAACGCCATCGCTCACCAAGACAACAGCGACCTTAGCCCCCTTCTACTGAGGGGTTATCGACGTAAAGCACTAGCAGTGCACATCGCATTGCCGGGGTACCAAATTTGTTCGGGCAAACTGTGGGGTCTCGTTGTTGGAATGACACAGCCCAGTGACGAGAACGTGGGAACGCTCTGCCCAGCTGTGTTGCTGACAGACGACTCGAAAAGCATTGTGTGCTCGGGTTTCAATGTCAAGGATCCGATACCGAGACAGTAGAGTGGTAGAGGATGCTCCGTCGTTGTTGATGCGCGCAAGGACGAATTCTCCAAGAGTGGGCGACTACGAGCATATGGGGCCAGGAGTAATACGGACCTAAGTGTCGGTTGCAGAACGAGGCATCATCAGGCGCTCGCGTCCACACCCGCGCTGCCACGGAGACAACATCTTTGTGAGACGGATACCAGCCGCAGGTTGTCATGATTGAGCTGTAGACAGCCACATGTGGGGACTTGTACATGCAAGTTGAATCCAGACTTCCTCATTGACAAGTTCTTAAAGGGGCTGCCGCATGATAACGGCACCGCCAAAAGTCGGTTGGTGCTCCTGGGAGATATGGCAGCGTTTCCCTCATCCATTGTCCTGCTTGCTTGGGGTATTCAGAGAGGGGACCGGCCTGTCATGGTGGATGCCTGTACATGATACGGTGTGTGCACACCTTGTCCGAGTTGCGGGTAGGGCGTCCAAGAGAACCCGCCCTCGCCCAACAGACGAGATACGTACTCTTTGTTCACTTTGGCAGGTCCCGGCGCAATATCCGTACTTTGCACTTGGTCCTCTCTTATCTCATTTTGAGCTTCCTGCAAGGTACTTTTCGGTGGGGCCATTGGAGTTCGTCAAGACGATGCAAGCTGAACCCAACTCTGTTCCTCATATCCGTACAGAGACGGACTTCTCCTCTGCCAAGTTTTCATTTCAAGAGGCTCGGTTTCTCGCCTCGCTATCAACCAAGTTAACAACAAGTGCAAAAGCTCCCCCCTCCCCCCTCGGCCGAAAGACTGGGTGTATTTACAGGCGTCAGGGAAAGAGGGTTGACGAAGCGAGATGAGCAGGATGTCTCTGGCCGGATGTCGCAAAACCCTTCCCGCGAGACTGCGCCGCTACGTAGTATTCGATGGCTCTGTCTAGCTTGCTTCCTGTAACCTGGCCGCGTGCCCGCCGAGTGTCAACGTGCTGCGAGCTAAAGTGCCAGAAGGCTTGTCACATTTTTATTGTTGGTCTCGACTCTTGACTACCCTTTCCTCCTTCCCTTTTCTCTCTTCAACGAGGGAAAATCTCAAATACTAGCAGTCTTCAACCTTACCCTTTCGCCCAACAACGTTTTCTTCATCCCGGCCCCCATGTTGGCACCGGTATCCCCGAAGACCCTGACCTGTCAATTCTCATGCTCACCCATCGGCGAATCTTGCCGGGTCATCATCCTGACGATATTGACGTTCCTGTTCACAATACGGCCCAGACCCACTGGGATCCGGGAGTCGGGAGTCAGGAGTCACGCCAGGACCCTGACTGCAAAGTTGCAGAGGGACTCTAACCCGCTGTCCTCGCAGTCATCCTAGACCGTGTGCGTGTGCGTGTGCGTGTGTGTGTGTGTGTGTGTGTGTGTGTGTATTCACACATTGACTGACCAGCAAGCAAAGAGTGCGCCGTGCCGTAGCATTCCTCTACCGGACCAACAACTGCCAAAAAGACCAGCTGGTCTTGTCGGAGACCGTGATACTCAGTGGTTGCCCCAATTTGTCTGTGGCACTAATCACAGGCCAGGCACAGGACGGCCAGAGTCGATACATGTGTACCTGGGACACGCGTGTCCACTCCCTCCCCAACTCCCGTCTGCGGCGAAGACGTTTATTGTGACCATACCCGTGCCTGGTCGCATCCTGTCCGTCGGGTCTGCAACAACATATTTGACACCAACAGCACATACCGCGCGCAAGTTCTCTATCGTGCACGGGAAACGTTCCGCAGGATTCTCCTCGTCTTTCCTTCACCATTCAACGTGGAAACATAGGCACACTGGCAGAGTCACGCTCTGGACAGCAAACAAGCCTGGACATGGTCAGGCGTGTGAACACCGATGATGCCAAATAAAACTGGCCCTACTAGACCCTGCGATCCCTCACCTCCAACGTCTGCTCACACTCACGTTACTTCGGACGGCACGCTACTGCGAGGTGGGCGCAGAAAGGCATGAACATCCCTGCATTCGGTTTGGCGCTTTGGTACCCGGAGCAGGGGTGCTGGGAAGCGAGAGCGTAACCGGGCGCAGTCAGAGTCATGGTGGGAACTCGAAACGGAACTTTGGTGAATGTGCAGGTCATCTCTCGTCGCCTCGGTCGGATTTCTCAATCTTCCGCACACGTTCTAACGCTTCCGAGCGCGCTCCTTCGCACGTAGTGCTGTCTGATTAAGTGCTGACTGTGACTCGGTCAAGAGCGGTGCGTCCAATGGCGGGAATCAGCTACACCTAGGACATGCAGTCATCGTCACCCGCGTCAACTGCTCCCAAAGTGCCAGCAAGCGGATAGTTACCGTACAGACCCTGTAGTACCCAGTCATGCGCCGTTAAGTCATTGGCCGTCCTAAGCGAGCAATTATCGACCCGGAAATTCCAATGGTAGTCATGGACAGTGTGCCATTGGGCCCAGTCACATTTTCCCTACTTTGGCTCTGTTGACATATGTTAACGCGCTGCTAGTGATTGACGCTTCCGTATGTGTGAGACGGCGCCTTGCAGGCCCAAGTCCGCGGTGAACTGCGCTCATTGGAGAGACTGTGGACGACAAACAATTAGCAATGAGCAATGAAACTGGGACAACTATTCGCCGCTTGGCGGCTTTCGCACCCACAAGCCGGCTCTTGCCCATGGTGAGGTCTTCTTCATTGTTGAAACCTTATGCGGTTGTTCCCATCAATGACCCCATGGCGCCAGGTTCTGTATGCTCGTCGCTTGAACAAGCGCCCTAGCGATGGTGTCATTCTTCAAGGCCCGCCCGACGCAGGCCACCCCATCGAATGCCAATGGGAGGCTCCCTTGCGACCCTAGATGGAATGCGATCCTTGTAGATCTTCTAATATTGGACCCCTCCCGGCCTCGCAATGATAATAAACCAAGCCTGCAGCGGACCACGGGATATAACCAGACAGCCAGCAAGGCAGACCACATGGACGACTGATTTAGTCGCAAGCTCTCACCGTGGCGATCTCACACCAAGTCGGAAGCCCGTAGGTCCGTAGTTAAGTGATGAGTGACGCGGATGTCTGCTTCCACTCCCCATGTCTTGTCTTTCGTGGTGACTTCCTTCGTCCTGCTTGGCTGCAGTGCTCTTGGAGTTCTCCTAGCTTTAGAGATTATAACTTCCGAGCCTGCCCTCGCCGTTTTGCCGTCATGGGGAGCCAGTACCTGGTTCTACTAAGCCCTATGCTGCGCCGGACGGGTAGCCAAGAAGAAACCTCCGTCTTGTCGATGCATTGGCCGGCTGGCGTCCGCAATATGGGCACAGCGGACCTCCAAGCCACCGGCTCCTGGGTCACGATAGATGCGTCCGATAAGATCCAGAACAGGCAATCGGCGGCAACGTTGTTCCACGTGCGTGAACATGTCCGCCTGGGCCCATGCCATGCTTGAATAGGGAAAATAAATGACTTTGTAAGGCATCCGCCAACCTCATGTCGTTGGATCGCCCGCGCACCATCCCGCGCCCGTTGCATTCAGCAGTGGCACAAATGGGATGGGCAGACGTGAGTGCATGCAGACCTCCTCTACGAAGGTCGCGCATCAAGATTCGAATAGGAGTTGAAGAAGGTCAAGAAAGAGAACGGGTACATGCATGGCCTAGTCATGTTGAAGCACTTGCTTCAGGAGATGGTCCGTCAGGCTTGTAAACGAAGTGCGGGACGGAGGAAGGCATCAGCTGCAGGTGTGTGGGTGCTGATCTCGGTGAGGCGGCCCGGATCCGCTATACCGGGATTATATAAGCTGTTGCTCCGTCACGTGATAGCGCGACGCTTTGGCACCGGAGGAAGCTGCTGGGCTCACCCGGAGCTGCCTCAGTGCTTGTTGTAGGTACCTGAACTCACGTCACCGATCAAGACGACTTTTCGGCACGGCACACGGCGCAGCACGGCAGGCCTTGTCCGCCCCCACGTCCACATCGCAACCTCAACGCCGTTCATCGCCGACTGGTGAAGCTGCACTAGCACAGGATTCGCGTTACTTTTATGAGATCTGCCTTTGAAGTTGGAGCCCGTGACCACCATTGCCTCATTTTCTCCGCCCATCTTCAGGCGACGCTTTCCCTCAACTCAACCTCCTCCAATCCTTCCAGTCTCAGACGATCCGACATCGATCCATCCTTGCGGCTTCGGCCTAGAAGAAGACATTCGGTTTAGCGACGGCGGCGTCGCTCCTTCTTGAGTTGCTACCGTGGTCCTTGGTTTTGATCCCCACTCCACTCTACGTCCATCTGATCAACCGATCGACTGGCTGGTGGTAGCCGCCTCCCTTTTTCAGGATGAAGTTCTTTATCGAGTGAGTAACGAACTCTGCGTCCGTTACGGTAATATACGTATGCCGGCTGACAGAGAGATTGTAGTGAGCTGCCCATTCTTTTCCCATACCCTAGGATCTATCCGGAGCAATATGCGTAAGTACACATCTGGTGAATCCCCGCACCATGTGAGATGCTGACTGGCCGTCCGCGGGCTCAGGTACATGTGCGATCTCAAAAGTGAGTTGGCGTCCTCCCGATCCATTCGGTATGAGTCGGATCCGAAGCTGACAGTTGGAATCGGCGTTCAGAAACCCTGGATGCAGGCGGGCACTGCGTTCTGGAGATGCCTTCAGGAACGGGAAAGACAGTCTCGCTGCTCTCACTCATTGTTGCATACCAACAACACAACCCCGAGCACCGGAAGCTAATCTACTGCTCTCGTACGTTACCAGACCACCTGTGTACTATGTGCGCTCCGCCATCTTGCACCGATCCTGACATTCAATTCCTAGGTACCATGTCCGAGATCGAAAAGGCCCTTGCTGAGCTGAAGGCTCTCATGAAGTACAGAGCACAAGAGCTCGGCGAAGAAGAAGAATTCCGCGGCCTCGGACTGACGAGTAGAAAGAACTTGTGTCTACATCCTTCGGTCAAGCAGGAGAAGAGTGGTGCCATTGTCGACGCTCGTTGCCGGAGTCTCACAGCTGGGTTCGTCAAGGAGAAGAAGGACCGCGGCGAGAACGTCGATGTCTGCGTCTACCACGATGTGCGTGAAGCATTGTGCCACCCTCCAAATTCACATGCATTGCTAACGGGTCACAGAACCTGGACCTGCTTGAGCCGCACAATCTAATTCCCAACGGAGTCTGGACGTTTGACGGCCTCTTGAAATATGGCGAGCAGCACAAGCAGTGTCCTTACTTCACCGCGAGACGCATGGTAACATTCCTCCCAAGCGCACGGTCACGGTCGAGTCCATGCCGCTAACGAGCTGAAAGATGCAATTCTGCAATGTCATCATCTACTCCTACCACTACCTTCTCGACCCCAAGATCGCGGAGAGAGTGTCTAGAGAACTATCAAAAGATTGCATTGTGGTCTTTGACGAAGCCCACAACATCGACAATGTCTGCATCGAGTCCCTCAGCACGGACATCACGGAGGACTCTCTGCGAAAGGCCACAAGAGGAGCGCAGAATCTGGAACGGAAGATCGCAGAGATGAGGGACACCGACCAAGAGCAGCTGCAAAATGAGTACCAGAAGCTGGTTGAGGGTCTCCGTGGCGCCGACGAGGCACGGCAAGAAGACGCGTTCATGGCGAATCCAGGTAGGCATCTTTTCGCCAGAGTTCATTCGTTGGGCAATGGTTGGCTAACATGCCCAAAGCACTGCCCGACGACTTGCTGAAGGAGGCGGTTCCGGGCAACATTAGGAGAGCCGAGCATTTTGTGTCCTTCCTGAAGAGATTCATCGAGTATCTCAAGGTGTGTTGGCCTTTGGCTCGGAGAAGCAATGAAGGCTTGTGTGCTGACAACCTGGTAGACCCGCATGAAGGTTAGGCACACGATATCGGAGACGCCGCCATCCTTTCTCGCCCATCTCAAGGAGTACACCTTTATCGAGAAGAAGCCCCTGAGGTTTTGTGCCGAGAGGCTAACGTCGCTCGTGCGGACTCTTGAGCTCACCAACATTGAAGATTACCAGCCTCTTCAGGAGGTTGCCACCTTTGCGACTCTTGTCGCAACGTACGAGAAGGGCTTCCTGCTTATCCTCGAGCCTTTCGAGTCGGAAACGGCCGAGGTGCCCAACCCGGTGTTGCATTTCACATGCCTCGACGCCGCCATCGCCATCAAACCCGTCTTTGACAGGTTCAGCTCCGTCATTATCACGTCGGGAACCATCTCTCCGCTTGAAATGTACCCCAAGATGCTGGGGTTCTCGACCGTAGTGCAGGAATCATACAGCATGACCCTGGCGAGGAGGTCTTTCCTGCCCATGATCGTCACCCGCGGAAGTGACCAGTCTTCCATCTCCACTAGTTTCCAGGTCAGAAACGAGCCGAGTGTTGTCCGGAACTACGGCACCCTCCTCACAGAGTTCGCCAAGATCACGCCGGACGGCATGGTCGTCTTCTTCCCGTCGTATCTGTACATGGAGTCCATCATCAGCATGTGGCAGGGCATGAACATTCTGGAAGAGGTCTGGAAATACAAGCTCATCCTCGTTGAGACGCCCGACGCACAGGAGACGTCACTTGCGCTAGAGACCTACCGGACGGCCTGCTGCAACGGTCGCGGCGCCGTCCTGCTGTGCGTCGCCCGAGGCAAGGTCTCGGAGGGTATCGATTTCGACCACCAATACGGCAGAACCGTGTTGTGCATAGGCGTACCGTTCCAGTACACCGAGTCCCGAATCCTCAAGGCGAGACTCGAGTTCCTGCGCGAGACGTACCGCATCCGCGAGAACGACTTCCTGTCCTTTGACGCCATGCGCCACGCCGCACAGTGCCTGGGTCGCGTCCTGCGTGGCAAGGACGACTACGGCATCATGGTCCTCGCGGACCGCCGGTTCCAGAAGAAGCGCGTGCAGCTGCCCAAGTGGATCAATCAGGGCCTGCTCGACGCCGACACGAATGTAAGCACCGACATGGCCGTCAGCAGCGCTCGGCGCTTCCTCAAGCAGATGGCGCAGCCGTTCCGGGCAAAGGACCAGGAGGGCGTGAGCACCTGGAGCTACGAGGACCTGATGAAGCATAAGGAGAAGATGGACTTGGAGCGCATCCAGGAGCTTGAAGAAGCCGGCGTCGGCGGCGATGGATACGGGGCTGACGGCGGAGACGAGTACGGCATGGACGACGACCTTGACAACGATCTGATGGAGATTGACGACGGGTTCTGAGACCCCTCCCCCCAGCATGACCGTCAGACCAACGCGTTTGGAGTTGATGAGTTGCAAGAGAGAACTGAGCAGCCATTGCGCCGCAGTTCGATTGCGACAGGCGAAGGATGTAGAGGGCCCATAAATGAGAAGAAGCAAACAAATTAGCTGTCTAATGCAAAACCCCACCATATCTTCCGCTCGGATGGCTGTGTACGTACGGCGACATCCTCGTTGCTCGTCTACTTTATCCCGTGAACTCATGGTCTACATACGGCGAGGTCTATCTACCGTACAAGCGTAGGGCCCCGTCGCGATCTACAGATACTCACCCCAGCGCAACTCTCTTGGCTGCCTTCTGAGCCCTCATGGCAGGAATGGTGTTTTCCCTGCCCGGCTTCCTCCCGACCTCCATGCACAACATGCGGATAAAGTCCTGACTCGTCCAGTAGCAGGTGTGCGCGCTCAACATGTTGAGATACTGAATTTCCAGAGGGCCGCCGCCGAACCTCAGGTAGTAATCGATTTGACCGTTGTCGTTGAGTAGATATGCCTTTCTCTCCGCGATCTCTTCCCGCGTGAAGTCGTGAACCTCCAGCTCGAGCTGCGAAGGCAAGCGCACGAACGATGGTTTCGGCGCCGCGGGAGGTGCCATTGCCGCTGGGGCGGGTGCTGTTCCAGGTACCAGGCTTTTCACCGCGTTGCCAACGTATTTGAAGATGGAGCTGGCACTGGATGGCACATGGGCGGTCCTCAGACTCGTGGCATACACGGGGTCTATGGTGCCGTTCAGCAGATACGCGATGGGGTCCTCCTTGGCCAGCACGTTGTAGATGTTGTCCACGGCGATGCAGCCGTATCGGCCGGCCTCGCCCGTCACTTCCGGCGCGTTAACATCGACCGGGTCTGCGCCGGGCTTCACCCTACCACGTCGAGGCTGGAGCATCCCCCTCTCGAGAAGCAAGAAGAAACCTGCGGGGCTTCCTACGAGAAAGAGGTTGTTTGTGTCGAACTCGAAGAAGTCCGGCTGGGGCATTCTGATGGACAGATCCAGCCTCGGGACACGCGTGGGTTGGCGTGAGAGGATCTCGATAGCCATGGCGCTGCCGAGAGAGTGCCCAATCACGTGGGTTCGTCCTCTTTCTGCAAATCCGGGATTGTTTCGACACCAGAGCCGATACACCCTGTTGGCTTCCGTGACCAAGGCATTGATCATCTTTCCCTTGTGATGAGACAGGTAGAACGGGATGTCAAACATGACATCGGATATCATGCTTCGCACCGCCGGGATACTGCCGGGCTCGATGTCCTTGAGAGTGAAGCCGTCCGGCACGTGTGTTGCCTTGTCTTCTTCCCTCATGGGGCCGCCGTCTTCGAACGACAGGGTGTGGCGCCAGTTGATTGGGAGCACCATGATGCCGTTCTGGTCTTCCCTCAAGACTCCCTTGACTGCTGGACTCGCAAGCTCCAGGTTGACCTCGCGGCGGAAGGCGTTGATGGCGTGAGTAAAGTGGAAGCTTTCGACCCGCTCTGCAAACTTTTGCCCAATGCCGTGAACGACGAGGATGAGGTCCGTGACCTGACCGCGCTCTTTTTGCGCCTGACAAGCCGCGCAAACGTCTTGTCCAACAGCCTCGGGCGAGTCGCTGGCCGAGGAGGCCGGCTGGTGGGCGGCGTCTCGACTGGCCTTCTTGTCGTGGATTCGCTCCCACGCTTGCCGGTCGAAGCCACGTACGACCGGGATACCTATGGTCATCCCTTTCATGATCTTCGCAACCGGCCGCCTGCCATAATAAGCCGACGGCTTCAGGCTAGGCTTCAAGAGGAAGGCTTTGGAGGCGTCCTTGTAGATGACGTGGTAGCTCGCATAGCTCCGATGCTGCTGGGCGGCTGTCCCGGCCTTTGGGTTTGGATCGATGGCGCCTTCTGCGGCAGCTTCTCCTCGGAAGCAGCTTGCGGCACAGAACGGATCTGTCGAGATGCGCGTGTCCGAGACTGCTTGCTTGTCCCTGTCGTTGAGAGTCTCCTCGTCTTCCGGCCACAGTCGATGCGACACCTTCTCCTCGCCGAGGGGACCAACCTCAATCGCACAGCGCAGCTCGTCGTTCCATGTCTCGGTGTGGGGCTTGAGCTCTCGATATCCGGCCTCCAGCTGGTTCGCCACCGCCGGGGGTATGGGCAGCATCGTGTCTCTGCCCTTCTGTTAACATCCTCAAGGAATACTGCAGCTGCGAACAACAAACCTATAAAACCAGGTGGCCCGGAGGACCACGGCGATGTCGTTCACGGGGGACCAATAGATGGGTTTCATTTGCAGGGCAGGGATGGACACCATGTGTAGCCGAGAGACACCAACGACCACGTCAACCGCTTCTTTTCTGTAGCTCTCATCGCTGACAATCTTGGCTTGCGTGGTGTTTGCCCTTTTTCTTGGCGAAGCCGATGGGTTGCTCGGCTTTTGCGCGTCTCGCTCCTCGGCGTCAGTCAGGCTCGAAGGCTCCAGAGGAGGGAACGAAGCCGCAAAGCCGTCCTGCGGTCTCTGCCGGATCCCAGCCCGAACGAACGGTTTCCCAGAAATGCCGTCATCCACAGGATGCTGTCGAAACGAGCTGCCGAGACCTGGGGTTGAGGGTCGCGAGGTTTGCTCACTTGCCCGAGAATGAGACCTCGCCCTCGTCTTGGCCTCGATCGCAGTGTTTCCGGCCTCCTTGCTCAGCCTCTGCAACTCACTCGCCTCTTCCCGGCGAGGGCTGAAGGAGCCGACGATTCCCATCTGTCGCGACCTCGCCGAGTCTGCGCGGGGCCGCGAAGACGAGGTGCTCCCTGGCTGAGGTTGGGATTCGTCAGAGATTAACCTTCTTAGCTCCATCATCACTTCTTGCACGACACTTTCTTGTCCTAGCGAAGGGTGGTGCTTCCTGGCCAGTGCACAAAACGTGTTTTGCAACTCGGTGGACACATCGATGAACAGGTCCGGGCAGCATACGGAAATCGGGGTATCTGGGAGCATGTCCGAAGCTTCGCCTGCTGAGGCCGATGCTTGGATCGTGCCGCCGTGTTTTTGGACATGCTTCACGGCCAAGTGGCGCACCAAGAGAGCCAACCTGGCTGCGTTGGCTTTCTCTGTGGCAGGGCTAAATTTGCGATCCCGCACCAGTTGCTCGTGGGCCTGGATATCATCGTCGGACAGGAAGCTCAACCAAGCCTTCTCAAGAGCATTGTTGTCGCCCAGCGAAAAGGGTCGGATTTGGCCACGTGCGGTCCGCGCGTCCGAGGCGCCGGCGATCGTTCCAGGGGATAGAGGATCGTCTATGGGTATGACTGAAGAGTAGAAAAACTGGGCGGCAACGGGAGGAATGACGTCGTAGGCGCCGGCGGGTAAGGGCTGCGAGACGGGTGCAAGGCGGCACTTGGGGCCGTACGAGTGCGTTTGCGGCGAAGACATGATGGGCAACTGCCTGTGGTCACCGGCTTGTTGTCGGAGCTGCGACAGCCAAGATCCGAGGTTCGATATCGGGCTTCAGGGGAGGCCGGCAATTTTGGCCAGAAGAGCGAGTTTCGGAGACGAGGTGGATGGGTTTGGGCTTCCTGTGCGCAGAGCGGAATCAACTATCACGGACGGCTGTCGGTAAGCCTTTGGGGTGTAGTGGACTTTGGCATGGTTGAGGCAGCAGTAATGGTGTCGTGGCAGCGAACGGAAATGCGTATCGTCAAAGAGGCGAAATGCAGCTGCGCAAGTCGTGTCAGCCTCGAGCAGAATACAGTGATGATCGTGAGGGTAGCCAACTACCGGAAACTAGATTGGGTGGGATAGTATATGTTCCTCGCAGGTTGTCGAAGGCGACTGCGCCAAGTTTCCGGGCCGTGACGAGCTTGAGCAGCACGTAGGTTATTCGAGCTGGCTTCCGGGGGTATGGCGAGAAAGCCAAGTCGAGGCCAAAGTTGTAAGCCTGGCCGTTAGTTCAGGTACCGGAGACAATGGTGCGTAACCTCCTGGCGCATTCTTCAGTGGCTCACACGGGAAAGGTGAGTCGCGAGGAGAGGGCGCGCATGAAGTCGGCAGCTACCTTGGCTCTCTTTTGGTCTTAGGTAAGGCGGGAAAAAGCATGTGCTCCAGCAGGCCGTTTGTGTTCTGTTTCCGGACGCTCAATGACGTACTTTGGTTCTCCCCGAGACGATGGTCAGTGCTCGAGCTTCTAAGTGCTGCCCCATCAAGCACCAGCCACATGAGGCACACGAACTGGTCGAAGCGTCCGGGTGTCCGCTCCCGCAGCGGGGAAACTCTCCCCCGCCTCAACGTCTATGCCACACCAGAGCTGCTCTGCCGCAGCATCGCATCAGCTTGGCTTGCCAGTCGATCAGTTTGGGATTTTTGGGGGTGGCGTCACAGTGGGCTGTTGATACTTCCTGCCTGGAGCGTCCCAAAACACGGAACTACTAGGCATGTAGCTACACTACATACATACTACGCGACCCCGCCCCCCACCTCTCCCTTGTGGGTTCGTCTACTCCAAACACACCAGCAGGAGCTTGAATCGCAGCCCGACATGGCGCTTCCATGGGACGGGCGCTTGTGGGGAGTGATGGGAATGATACGAGAGGTGCCATCACAATTACCACCGACCTTCGCTGGACAAGTGACCCGGTCCCTTACAAATTCAGCAGACTCGGCGGACAGGCTCTGAGTCTCGGGTAGGAGATCTACGGGCGGAGATCCAGTCCCAGCGCCAGTCATGCTAGCCGATGCGATGATGCAGAGAACACGGCGCGCGAAACCTTATCTGGATGCTCCTCTCATCACGGTTGTGCTCTCGGAGAAGGAATATCACGGTTGAGAGCCGCAACCTGGTAAGGGTTGAAAGCTGTATTGCCGCAGTCTCGCAGGCAGGCAAGGCGAGGGGCAACATGTTCGACATTATCGTGTCGCCAGCCAGTTTCTCGTTGCATCGTGAAGACCCGAGTTTTGTCTACCGAGGCCTGCCAGTGGGTATCCCACCGGCGGGAACAGGTAGGAACCTAGGGAAGCCATTGAATACCAGAGTGTAAAATGGCGAAGGGGGGCATGCCATCGGAGAATATTAGGAGCCGAGATCCATAGGACCGGATTCCCGGCCTCCCCTGCAGGCCCTTTCTAGAGAATGATCCTCCGACGACGACAAAGCCGGACGTGATGCCTGCTCCGAGGGACTCGTGCCTCGTGTCAACCTCAATGCCTTGCCAAGGATTTGCATCGGCAATCCGCACAATCAAGCGTGGAATCGGGTCTCTGGGAGTCGTGATGAAGTCATCGCACGCGACGATGCCATGGACGCCAGCCCGCTAGAAGTGGCATAGGCGCTAACAATGCAACGGGACGGAATTTGGATGGGAACAGCAATAGCAACGAGCCCCCCCCCCCCCCCGCGGAACAGCCGGTCAGTGGAGACGAGACTGAATTGAACGCCCGCCACGCACATCCATGCAGCAATTGATCAAGGCTCCTCCATTGGTACGACAGCCGATCTCATGCTCAATGGGCAGGGAGCGAGTAGGCGAAACAAAGCCATTACAGTATTTGCCCGAGTTGTTCTGTCGCTGCTGCGGCTACCTGAGGCTATGAGCAGAGATGGGCGTAAGCGGTCAATGGCAGTCATTAAGTAAGACACGGCAAGCCGTAACCATCTCATGTCATGGAAGCATCAGCGATGGCGGCTGTGGTGCAGAAGTGAGAAGCAGACACGCACGTAGCGAGTATATGCAGATGTCGACGCTGAGTATGTTGCTGCCACTCGGCATGTTTCAAAGAACACATAGGCAAGGATGCTGTGAACTGCAAGCGTACCGTCAGGCCACGCACCTCGCAACCCCGCTTGGACCGTGCATAGGTACTTTACAGCGTCCCCCCCCATCCCGCCTGACACGGCGGGGTGGAGCCCGGAATGGCCACCTTACTGTGTAAAACCTTGTCTCTCCAACAGATGGATGGATGAATGAGGGGGCCGTTGTGCTCTCTAGGACCCTTCCAACATGAATGCTCTGAACGCAGAAATGCGAACTGACCAAGTACGCTTGCTGTAGCTGTCGCGTCCAATGTGCAAGTGCAAGTGTGCCTCCTCGAGATGAGACGGGTTTGCCAAGTGGGTGAGATGTTACAGGGATGTGGAGATGGACACGAACACTTACACTCCTTGGAGTCACGTTCCAAGACCCTTCTCCCTTCACAGCGGGAGAGAGGCGTCTGCACGCCGGGAAGAAGCAGACGAGGGCAAAGGAGAGAGAGAGAGAGGGAGAGAAGAAAAAAGACGAAAAAGCGACAGAAGAAAAGGCAATCGAGTGATGTGATCCCATCGGGGTCGTCGATTGCATGCTCTCACCGTGTGTATCGGTAGCGCTGTGGTGGTGCAGGGCGGGTGCCGTGACACCCAATGCGAATGGCGCTACAGTTGCTGGATGCAGCAGCTGTGCGCTAGCGCCAACGCCTCGTCCCCACCTGGAATGTGACACCACCCTCCGACCTGCCACCCCCGTCCGTCCTCCCCCGTCGTCTCCTCCCTGCCATCTCCTGGGTCCTCCCAAGGTCCCCAATGTTTCCCCCGAGGGTCTTCCTGTCTTTGACCTGTCCAGCGTTGGTCCACTGTGGTGTCGTTATCTTGGCTGAGCTCGCGACACCCGGCGTTCCTATTGGTCACGGGGAGTCGGTTCAGAGGCACTTGGCTTTGGTGTTGGGGGGGACGACAGATCTTGCTGGTTCCTGACCTGACCTGACTTATGCCATAGCCCAAGAATGCCTCGCATCGCGCGACTCTGAACGCAACTCGCCGAGTGTGTCGGTTCGTCTGTCGCTGTATAGGCATCTTGATGAATGCTGCTCCAGTCTCCAGATGACTCTGTCAGTGGTTGAGTGAGTGGTGAGTGGGTGGACGGTTCTCAGGGCCCAGACCAGATCGACAAAGAACAAGAGCAGCCCCCTGGACACCAGTGGCGCGCCTCACCTACCATGGAGGGGGAACGTTGGCTAAGGGTTCTGGGGTGCTTTGCCGAGTTCAGTGCCAGGCAAGCAAACAACGTGCCAATGTGTCCAAGGAGCTCGGAATAGCCTGGTGGGACGCATCAAGAAGGACAATGACAACTTTCAATGCCCATCATCAGTACCCTTCTCAGGTCTACAACGAGTCCGCTTGGTTGTCTACAAGACGTTGCCGTCGCCCTATGGCTATTCAATCAAGAGATGGCCACCCAAGGTGGTAGTCGTAGTGGTTGTTGCAGTGATTGGTCGGTCACGGTGATGCCGGGCACATATCTGTACCTAAACCATGGTAGTGTAGGGCGGCCGTGCTCAAGCCAAGATCCAAATCAGCAGGCCAACACCCCTTCCCCCCCTTAGCTCCAGCGCACCAAACTAGATACCGTAGCTTCTCTTCTCTTCCTCCCCTTCCCCATGTCTTTCCAGGTTGGGTTGCTGGGCAAGGTCTGGCATGCTTGGACTGAGGTGCATCTGCTTCTCCTCCTACACCCTGATTCGTCCAAGAGGCACTGCACGACTACCACTGCCGCGATTGCTACTCTGCCAAACCTGGCGCCTTTTGCCGGTCTCCTGTGCTGCCATCTCGATTGGTTTCTTCTCCCTTTCATCTCCTCCCGAACCCCTCACCGTTGGTTGTCGCTGCTCCTCCTGGAAACGTCGACTTCCGGTGTTCTACATCCTCGCAGGAAGCAAGATCTCGGTCCACGGTATCTGGCACCAGCTCGGCTACACGCCTCGAAACAGAAGGACGCCCTTGGTCGTTATCATCCCCTATCGTTGAAAGATACCTGCTACAGCGCTGCCGCTTATCACGAACCGGCGCTACTGCCTGTTTGCCGCTGGCGCTGCCGTCACTGTTGGTTGCTTTTGGGGTGCATGCGCGATAAGGATCGACCACCACTACGACAACCCCAGTCGATCCAAATCACCCAGCCCAGCCCGGTTGGTTTGAGTGCGTCTTCTCTCTCCCCCCCCCCGCCCCATGCCACATGCCCCCCGGTGCGGCGCCGTGCGGTGTCATACCCCAACCCATCTGCAGTGACAAACGCCCTACCCCCCCTTCCTTCTCTCTTTCAACAACTCCCAGGACGAAGAGTCGGACGTCCTCTCTGGTACTGCTCGCTCCCATCGTCTCGTCTCGTCCCGGTTCTCTACTGCTGTTTCCAATTCCATCTCTGACACGCAATCTTTCGGGGTCGCAGATATAGGCATCCGGTGAGAGAAGCAGCACAAGCCGCCGCCCTATCCATCCTGACTACAGTCGGTGGCTTTGGTTGCACCACCAGCCCCAATTCCACCGCCAGCCGTCGATAAATAGCACCCAAGGGTCCATTGCCGTTCACAACTCCCCCTTGGGAACGACAAGATCGTTGTACGAGATGGCGACAATTGCCCTTCCGAGGCCGATTCCCCCGCATCGTTCATCGTCGACGGTGGGCGCCGTTGCCTCCATTTCGCTGGAGTCCATCGGCACCGCCCAAGTCCCCGTACCCAACAAGCATCTCCCCGTCTGTCCCCCGGGGCCCGTTCCTGCAGAGGAGCCCAACACTCCGCCGCCCTCTCCTCCCCGCGACGACGAACAGGTTCAGCAGTCTTCGCTGCTGCACCCTCCCTCAAAGTTCTCCAAGTACGAGTCCGGGCCCGTCGCCGTTTACACAATCCGCCCCGCCGATGTGGCCGCCGCTGTGGATTACATTTCCCGCCAGCCGTTGCCGGACCCGAATCAAGTCTTCCCTTGGTTCCACGGGCTCCACCCCCACAACCATATCCAGCAAGCCTTCTTCATCGCCCGGCACCGTTCCCTTCGCAAGACACCCACCTGCGTCCGAGGGGTCACACTCGTCAAGGCCGATGGCGACCTGAGCGTCGCCCGTCTCAAGGGCGCCGTCGCCCCGCAAGAGTTCATCCACCTGATCGCCGCCCCCGAGTTCCTCGATGTTGACCCCCGCGATGGCTTCTGCGTGCGGAACTTCCAGATCCAGGCTGCCAAAGCCGCCATGGTTTCGGATATTGTTGTGTATGGAGAGGACGAGGCGGCCGTTCGCAAGCTCGGCCTCGATGTCGCCACGGCACAGCTCCGCTGGCGACAGCGGCACGAGACGCAAGGCCACGCCATCCCAGAGTACAACACCTTCCTGTGTGTGGCCCCCTTTAAGGATTTCGAGACCGACCACGGCGACATTGTCGCTGTCGACGCCCAGGGGCGACTGACTGGCAACGTCCTCGACTTTTTCCACCAGGAGCGCAAGGAAATGTACAACATGACCAAGGCCTCGGAAATATCCCACAACGTCTGGCTGGGCCCAACGCCGGACCCTACGTCGGGCGAGGAGGACCAGTTCGACGTCCTGATCGAGTGCAGCGACGTGGGCCGACTGAACCCTTCCGCCCTGCGCGCCCTGGCAGAGTCCAGAGCCGAGCCTGCTCAACGACCTTACATCGACTTCCCCTCATCCGGGAGCATCCTGCCGCCAACATGGTCGCAGGCCGAGGCCGATGGCATTCTGGAGACTTGCAAGTGGATTTACCACCTGGCCCATGGTACGCTTCCAGCCACGAGCAAGTCCGACATGGACGTGGACGGCGACACCGACATGGACGAGCAGGGCGAGCCAGCCCCCGTGAACCTGCGGCCGAGGAAGATCCTCATCCACTGCGCCGACGGGTACACAGAGTCCACCATGCTCGGGATCGCCTATTTCAGCTACAGCACGGGACAAGGCATTGCCGACGCCTGGTTGCACTTGCACACGAGCAAGAAGCGCAACTTCTTTGCTTATCCCACCGATGTGGCTCTTCTCACGTGCATCGAGGCACGGCTACTGCACGAGTCGCCCCTTCACTCGGGAAAGGGCCTCCGTGAAATCACGGCCTTGATCAAGGAGCCGTCGTGGCTGCCCGGCCTCGATGGCTCATTGCCCAGCCGGGTTCTGGATTACATGTACCTTGGCAACCTTGGCCATGCAAACAATCCCGACCTCCTGAGGGCTCTGGGGATCGGTCAGATCCTCAGTGTGGGCGAGACCTCGATGTGGAGGGAAGGCGAGTTGGAAGAATGGGGGCCGGAAAACGTCTGCGTTGTCCAAGGGGTTCAAGACAACGGGATCGACCCCCTGACAGACGAGTTTGAGCGATGCCTCGACTTCATCGGTAAGCTGGCAACCCCTCTGCCGGGCAATGTTGACATGGCACTAACCTCCTCGCGTCCAGATCGCGGCCGGCGCAACGGGACAGCCACGTTGGTGCACTGCCGAGTTGGCGTGTCACGGAGTGCAACCATTTGCATCGCCGAAGTGATGCGGTCGCAGGGCCTCTCGTTCCCTCGGGCGTACTGCTTCGTCCGAGCCCGCAGGCTCAACGTCATTATCCAGCCTCATCTGCGCTTCGCCTACGAGCTTCTCAAATGGGAGGAGCTCAACCAGGTGAGGAAGAACGGCCCAGCGGGCATCAAGCGGGAGCTTGAATGGGGCGAGATTGCCCGAGAGATTGCTCTCATGAATCGTCCGTACGCCAGATAATGGCAGCAGGTGAACCCCGGCGGCGACTAGACATGGGACCACGTTTTCCACGTTGGCCCACTTCAACTTATTTTCTTACCATTTACTTGCCCACGTGGATCGTGGGATGCCTGCTGTTGTCACATATGGTGCCTGTGGTGTATCGCCATCACCGTGGACAGGCGGGCCGGCGTCAGGGGCATCGTCGCCTTGGCAGATGGTCGCTTCTGGTTGTATTTTTTTTTTTTTGGAGGAACAACAAATCTCACACAAAGCATGGTTTGCGCGGGACTTATGATTTGACGGATGGCGCTATCGACCCCTTATTTCCTTTCATTGGCTGGACATTTTGGGTCTCTGCGGGAGGGGACTGGACAGGCGCATGGGTTATGTTATGTTTGGCTGGGTGTTGGTTGCTCTCGGGGAACGCGGAAAGTTCCCGCCGCGCCATGTTGCACAATCGTTCAAGACGGAGGATTCAAAAGGGCTCGGCCACACACGGCCGGTGGTGATGACTGACGACGATACCAACACTCTTGGTGGTGAGAGACGATGAAGGGCCCTTGGAGAGACGACGACGGAATACCGGATAGGGTTCTGATAATACACGCATGGTGGCCGCAAGCCACATTCTGCTTCGTCTCCCGTGATGTTGCCCTGTGACCTCTCGACCTAATCTTCAGCGACGCCTCTGCAGGACAAGCGGTGAAGCAGTTGCATTTGTTTCAAGCGCGACAGACGTACTCTCGAGGGCGGTTGTTTTTGTTTTTGGATCAATTAACAGCTGAGCCCTGATAGGTGTAGCTTCACATTACGTAGGTCAAGAATGCAAGGTGCTGTAACCCCCTTCCCCTCCCAAAGAGCCGACCAAACCCTCTCACTAGTAACCGGAGGGTGGAATAGAGAAGAAAACGAAAAGAGTGGCCAAACGCCTCCTGATGCAGAGCTGCGCCTCTCCCCAACACGACCTCAACATCCCCCGACTGTAACATCGACACGCCGAACCGACGTCTTTCTCTACACGGGTAAAGCACCGCTTTTTTTACGTTCCGTAAGACGACGCGTCCAGCTTGTCGTCGCCATCAATCACTCTGTCACGGGAATTCGTTAGCTGCTCAGTCTTGCCCAAGATTGCCCCCGCCGAGGAGAGGTGGACGACTCACGAGAACTGCTTCACCAGGTAGCCCTCTCCGCCGTGCTCCATGTCAATGTTGTACACGTAGAAGCCGCCGTCGCTGGTGACGACCATGACTTGAGGGCTGCTGCTGCTCATGGCCACGACGCTCCGCAACGGCCCGCTGGGCAGCTGTGATCCGCTCGCGTTGTTGGCGCCTCGCACCGGCCCCGTCGGCGAGTTGGACGACTTTGGGATCTTGATGTAGGCAAAGTCGCGCAGGGGTTCCCACATCTCCGTCACGGTCTGTGGCAGGTACGAGCCGACGACACCGGCCACGCTGCGACCCATTATCTGCGACGAGCGCCGGAGCATGCTGCTAAACGAGCCGCTCTGCCGCCTGTTGGCCTGCTGCGCGCTGCCGCCGCCGCCGTTGCTCGGCCCGGCGGGCTCGGCCAGATCGCTTCTCGGAGACCCTGCTGCGCTGCCCACAGGCGACTCGTTGGCACTGTCGTAACTACGCGACCTGGACCAGCGATCCTGGCGAGGCGACGCCGGCGACTCGGCGGCGGCTGCGGCCGAGTTGTTCCCTGGCGGGGGGGCTCCGAGACGGAAGATGTGGACCGTGTCGGAGGTCGAGGAGACGCAGAGAAGCGTGGAGCTGAGGTTGAAGGACATGCTGTAAATGGTGGAGGGGTAGGTTCCCCGGCGGAACTGGTACAGCTTCTGGCCTCCGGGGACCGAGAAGACACGGATGATGGTGCCGGTCTCACTCGCCGTTGCCAGGAGCGTTCCTTCACTGTTGAGGCAGATGCAGCAGAGGGGCGAACGATGCGCCTCGATGACGTTCACGGCCTTTAGGGTAAGCGTGTCAAAAACCAAAACCTCACCAGACGTCGGCGCAACGTATGTCGACAGAGGAGGCGCATGGGCTGGCCTTTTATCGCCCGAGTCTTCACGGGGCTTCGGCAGGGGGTACGCAATGTAGCAGTTCTCCGAGGAGGGCGACAGGGCGCAGATGGCACCCGGATTCGGAGACGTGGGGATCGTGAAGAGGAGGCTCATGTTGGAGATGTCATAAAGGTAGATCTCAGACTCGAGGACGACGGCGAGACGTTTACGGTTCAGACGCACAGCAAGCACGGCGGAGGGGAAGGTGAGCTCGCAGATGACCGAAGACCTCTGGTTGTCGTCAGTGTCAGCCAGGACCCCCCTTACATGAGTTGATTGCACGGCGAGAGAAGCGCCCACCTTTGTATTTTGTATTATCAAGTGTCGCGGCGAGAGGATCAAGGCCACAAGAGAGGTCGAGAACAGCATCTCGATTATGGCGATGTTCCCGTCATCGCTGCTGAAGATTTTGGAGAACGGATCGGTGTGGTAGATGCGGAAGCCTTTGGATGTACCTGTTGAAGCGCAGAGCGAGCCGGCACGTTAGTCCAGAACCGCGCCTCTTGTCTAGGAAAATTCGCATGTGCATGCAGGGAATCCATACCGACGGCCAGACAGCTATGGTCCTGGTTGAAGGTGATGAAGTTGAGGGCGGTGTTCGCCATGGTGCGCTGCTCGGACCGTGACCTTGGCTACGTGTATGTGCTCTGGCGGTTTCGAACAGCAGGATTCCGTGTCGCCCGGGCAGCGCCGGCTTGGAAGGAGAACCAGACGAGAAGCAACCACGGTGAGGACTTCGGGCAGGCGGCCCGTTACAACGGGTGGCCGAGGTATCAGTAGTGTATCGTGAACCGGCGGGAGGCAGATTCTGAAGCAGAGGTCGGAGATGATGGCGTGTACGATGTACGGTGGTGGGTTTCGAACCGGGTATCAACACACTCGACAGAATACCAGCCGCTTGGTGCGTGTCGAATCGCAGAGGGCGCGCGGCACCGGGCGAACTTTGGCCGCTGGCAAGTCCTGCGAGAGGGGATCGAGGTCCCGAGATGGCGCAACGGCTCGTGGGAGGGTGACGAGCACTGGTAGAGTGTGGTTGAGGTATGGAGCAGGGCGGTGCAGGGCGGCACGGAGGGCAAGCCGAGGAGGAGCAGGAGGAGTAGCACGAGGTGAGGTGCGGTCGCGGTTGCGGTGCAGCAAGGTGAGGTTGGGTCAAGCAAGGTCAAGGTCGGCGCAGCTCTCTCTTTCTCTATTGCGGGAGCAGCGAAGCAGTGGATGTGAATGGAGGAGACATGGACCTGGGCGGCCCCCAACTCCAATCCAGTGGGGGCGGCGGGGAAGCTATGTAATCCCGTGGCCCCAGCGTCCTCGCAGAGCTCGTCCTGCTTGGAGGGCACTGTGCCTAGAGATACAGCAGAGTGCCTTGGGCGCTTGGGTACCGTCCAATACCTGAGCTGGTTGTGGACGTCCGCGTGCGGCAGAATGGACCCATGTGTTCGCGGCACGTGTGGCTGGTGCGCCGGGCAGCTCCAGTGGAGCAGCTGGTTCGGGAACCCAGCTCGCCACAGGTGACTTTGCGAGGTGACCCAGGAACCTACTGTACCCTGTCTTATCGATAAGCTGGTTTATGAATGAGGGTGCGGGCTGCCCTCCAACTAGAGAGATCAGTCTTGAATGAGACTGAGTCCTTGGACTACCTTGGAAGTGTTTATCTGTCTCGCTCAAGATACGATCAACCTCACTCGATCAGACACCCAGAGGCTACTTTACAATAAAATGGGATCTACTGCGAGGAAAGTGATGCTTGTACTTGTGTGATTGGGGGGCGGGGGCTTACAGCTTGAGACCCCGTAGTTGGCGCCCGTGAACTGACTTGAGTGTTTTTTTTTCCTCCTGTGAAATTATCCTCGAAACCGAAAATTTTGGCAGCGCCCCTCTGCTGGGACTTGCTCTGTCACATCCCACACGCCCATCGCTCTCTTAGACCTGGACCTGCACGTAAGCGACATGAGTCCCAAGCCGCCCAAGATGGCGCCCTCGGCTCAAAAGGCTCGTAGCACGCAAGCCTTGGACGATCTCATTATGGCTGTGAGTAGAGTTTCGACGCCCCTCCACCACCAGCTACCGAGTACCGCAACTCGGGTTCTTGTATAGCGCATTGCTCACACCCCTGCAACCAGACAAACAGCAGTTCGATAGTCTCAAAACGGAGCGTGGTGCGTTGTATCCCCCTTACCCAGCTCACCGAGAAGAGAGTGCTCATCGTGCCAAGGAACGTCTCTACTACCCCGACGAGCCGCACTACTTCCGTTTCTTCGTCAAGAAGTTCCAGCGGAGGGCTCCTCTCATCAACAGGGGTTACCACCTGCGCCTCAAAGTCATCGATACTCTTGTGCGCCGCTTTCTTCAGAAGCCCTCTCACCGTAAGAAGGTCGTCGTCAACCTGGGCTGCGGAAGGTAAGGCCGTGCCTGCCGGATGGCCCATATACCCGCCGCCGTACTGACACAGTGCCATCAGTGATGTCCTGCCCTGGCAATGTGAGGTCCGATACCCCGAATTATGCCGCGACGTCACGTTTGTCGACGTCGACTATCCGGATCTCATCCAGAAAAAGCGCCAGATCGTCCTCGAGACCCCTGAGTTGCAGGATCTTCTGGGGACCTGGGAGGTCAGCCAGGACTCCCCCGTAGTCCTCAAGAGTCAGAAATACTGCCAGGTAGGCTGTGATCTTCGGCAACTGGCAACTCTGCAAACATGCCTGAATACCTTGTTCGACATGCCCAACACGGAGTTCCTCTTCGTCGCCGAAGTGTCCATCACCTACATGGACACTGAAGGTGCCGACGGAGTCATCGGCTGGGCAAGCGGCTTGGGACATGGTAAGGCTTCAACGTTTGGCCTTCTCTGCAGTATGATGTTCTAACCGGGCACGCAGCCGAATTTTGTCTGCTGGAGCAAATCCTGCCGGACGGGCCCGAGCATCCATTCGCGCATACGATGCTCAAGCACTTCAACAAGTTGAACACCCACCTGAAATCGGTCCACCGCTATCCTACCGTGGCTAGTCAGAAGAAGCGTTTCGAGTCTCTTGGTTGGCCGTCGACCGAGAGCTGGACACTCTGGGAAACTTGGTCGGATGACCTGTTCATGACTGCCGCTGAGAGAAGGGCCCTCGACGCCGTCGAGGCTTTCGACGAGTGGGAGGAATTCGCCCTCTTCGCCAGCCATTATTTTGTCATGCTTGCCTCGAGCCCGCACCCCGAAGTCGACGGGCACGCCTCTGGGTCTCTGGCAGGACTCGACGTCCAATCGTACCGGACTCCCATGACCACAAGCGTATACGAGACCAGCCGGGGGCACCGGCGGTTCGGCGCTGCCATGCTCGTCGAGAACCCAGACGGCCAGGCCCTCATTTCGCACACCTTCGGACAAGGCCCGAATGGTCGACCCGGCTCCGAAGACTTGTATCGGGTTTCTGGCCAGCCGGTCGCGTCTAGCTCGTCCAGAAAGGGGCCATCGGGCCGGGTCTGTCACACCCTCACAGACCTGGGCAGTGCTGGCGCTCTCTTGGCGGGTGGTCGCGCATCGCCATCGACCGCATTCAAGGACTGCTGGCTTTTCAAAAAGGTTTTCAATACCTGGGAGCGAGTACAGGACCTCCCGTCTCCCCTTTTCAGACACTCCGTAACTCGGCTGGGCTCGTCATCTCTCGCCCTTCTTGCCGGTGGCAAGACCAACCACTTCCAGTCATCGGCCGAGTATCTCCTCTTCGATCCCACAAAGGGCTGGACCAGATGCACAACACAATCTGCGCCCCCTTCGCTGTATGGCGCCACCTTTGTCTGCACGGGCAGTAGCGGGCCTCGCACTTTCGAGGGCTTTCTTACCGGAGGCAATCTTGAGGATGGCATAATCAATCAGAGTACCTACACGTGGAAGCTGGATCTGTCCGATTCCGAGGTGAGACCGTCGCAAGTACCGGGTGGTTTCATGCGCGCATCTGCTCACAATTCTAAACAGCACTCGCTGTCGTTCGTACAGCAGGCGTCCCAGGCTGGACGGGAGCCTAGCGTTTTTTCGCGGTTTGGATCCATCGCCGTCCAGGCCAGCGGGTACACTCTTCTCTTCGGCGGAGTGGCCAAAGACGTACAGCTGCCGTCGGCATACGGCATTCTTGTTCTCAGGATGGCGGAAGGCCGTGTGGATGTGGTTGCCAGGCTCGACGGCGCAGACGGCTCAGACGCAGTACGCCCCTTCATTATTGGGTCCTCCGTCGTGCCCTACGGAGACGGTAACTTTGCCCTTGTCGGCGGTGGCGCGACGTGCTTCTCGATGGGAACATACTGGACGGCAGGAAGCTACAGCTTTCGCTTCGATGCCGGCCAGCTCTCGGCCCGGGGCGGAACAGTACCTCCGCCACCACCGCCTGAGCCAGTAACGTATCTGGAGACGGTCGAGATCACGGCGGGCGACAAGGAGAATGCCGCCGAGTCGTTGGCCCCAGTCGAGATGCAGGCCATCCCTCGCGTCAAGGTTGAAACTGCGGAGCAGTTCCAGAGGATACTCGAAGCAGGCAAGCCCGTCATTATCGAGGGGTCGGACATCGGCCCTTGCAAGTCTGCTTGGTCGGCCGAATACCTAACCAACAGCGTTGGCCCCGATCGCAAGGTCTGCAATCCACATGAGCCGCTATGAGCCAGGGAGGGGGGATGTATCGATGGACACAACTGACGAACCGCTTTAGGTCTCTGTGCACGAGTCCACTACCGAGAAGATGGACTTCAACGCCAAGAACTTCCGCTACGTGACCACAGACTTTGGAGACTTCGTCAAGGAGGTTCAGGACGGAAAGCGTCTGTACCTGAGGGCGCTTTCAAAGGACGAGCCGTCGAGCCTCCCCACCCAGCTCGCCGACGACTACCCGTCGTTGGCCAAGGATTTTGCCTTGCCACCTCAGCTCGGTTTTGTGGACAGGAACGCATTCAGCTCTGTGCTGCGCATCTCCGGCCCGGTGAATATGTGGCTACACTACGACGTGAGTTGGATCCAATTCTGGCCCGTGATGCACATGGAAACGGCACCCTGTATTTCTAACTCGCCCTCGTACCTAGGTCATGGCGAATGTCTACGTCCAAGTCGGCGGCTCCAAGCGCCTCATCCTGTTCCCCCTTCAGATGTATCCCACTTCTCCTTCGCCCCAGGCGCTTCCAGTTCCAGCGTCGATGTCTTCTCGTCGCTCGACGCGGACTCTCTGAGAGGCGTCCACCCGCACGAGGCCGCCGTCCAGCCCGGTGACATTCTTTTCCTCCCGCCCCTCTGGCTCCACACCGCCACCCCTACGTCCGACTTGAGTGTCGCCGTCAACATCTTCTTCCGCACCCTGGAAAAGGGATACTCGGCAGGGAGGGACGTCTACGGGAACCGCGATCTGGCCGCTTACGAAAAGGGGCGCCAGGACATCGCCCGTATCGGAAGCAGCTTCAGCAAGCTGCCCCCGGACGCGAGGGGGTTCTACATCCGGCGCCTGGCGGATGAGCTGCTGCAGTCCACAACGAGTCTATAGAGCAATAAAACATCTGAGTGATGCCACGGAGCCCATGATGGAGCCACGTACACCCGAGCGTGCACACCCTACGTCGACCCTCTGGGCCATCGGCTGATCCACCTAAAGAAACTCTTGACATCATTGCCCAGGCCCTCTTTGTTTTCTCTCGCCCTCTCAAGCCCGCCCCGCCTCATACCTCCGGGAAGGCAAAGCCACAGCAGGAGGATGAAGACCAGGATGGCCAGGATGATGGGCTGCAACACCTGGACGCCCTTTTTCTGCGCAATGGCCCCAATGGCGAACGGGAAAATGGCAGCGCCGCCCCCGCCAAAGGCGGCGGCAAAGCCGATCGCGCTGACGTGGTAGTCGTTGGGGAGCAGTTTGGTCGCGGCGACGATTGCAGCAGGAAACAGGGGTCCGAGGAAGAAGCCGAGGAACGTGACGAATATGACGGAGGCGATGAAGTTGGGAACCAGCCAGTAGAGCAGCTCGAGCGCGATGGAGAGGAGCAGGTAGATGGCGATGGCACGCTTCTCTCCTATCCGTCCCGTTACGAACCCCAGCAAGACCCGGCCTATCGTGAGCCCTAGCCTGGAGCAAGACGTGTTAACGCAAAGAGGGGCTGGGACTCGGGTTCTAGGAGAGGACGGTATCCTTACCAAAACAAGACCACCGTGACACCGGCCAGGAAAGGCTCCGCATGCCTCACGCGGAGCATAAAGGTGACTACCCAGCCGCCCAAGCTGACCTCGGCCCCAACATAGCCGAGCAGGAACAGAGCCAGGAGCCAGGTGATGGGTTCCTTCAGCACCGTTCTCGTCGTCGTCCTCTTCTCCCCGGTCGACGACTGATGGGTCTCCCTGTGGATCTCGCCGGTAGCCCTCCAAAAGGCCGTGATGGCAACGAAGAAGTCGACCGTCGTCACGCCGATCATGACGTAGTAAAAGGTGTACCACGGCAGTTTCTGGCCCCTGGTCACCATCGCCGAGGCGATGAGCGGGCCGATGGTTGCCCCCAGGCCGTAGGCGCCGTGCAGGATCCCGAGCAGCTCGTTGGCGTTCTGCATATTTCCAATCCAGGCGTTCCAGGCGCTGTCCTCGAGACCGTTGCCGAAGCCGGCAAACAACAGGACAACAGGCAGCGCTGGATACGCAGGGTGAAGGGCCATGGGGATGTACCCGATCATACGGCTCACGGGACCCAGCACGGCGACGCCTCGCTGGCCGAACTTGTGGTGGATGAGGTTGTTGGAAAGGGCCGCCATCAGATAGCCGACAAACGGGGACAGAAACAGTAGGGCCACGACGGTGTATGTGATGCTGTAGTAAGCTTCAATCTAGACGACGGAATTAGCCAGTTGAAACGCGTCGCGCTGCCTTCGAGGCTCGTCGACTCACATATGGGATCAGGGCCTAGACAGGAGCCGTTAGTTGCTCGTTGCTACTCTCCGACAGATTCAGACTTACACCAATGGCGCCATCGTTCATACCCATGATGATGAAGCTCCAAAGAGTTACAAAGAACCGGTACGAGTTGATACGCGTCCCGTTCCATCTCTCGAGGCCCTCCTCGCGAGTCGCAGGCGAGGACGGTTTCCCGTCTTCGGCCACGCCCAGGACAGGCGCCTCGACGACCTTTTCGGCCATGGCGTGACTGTGGCCGGGTCTGCCTAGGACGTGTGACTGTTATGCTGTAGAAGCGCAAGTTCGGATCGGGCGAATGCTGGAGAGTCATGAGATCCGCAGGATCTGACAACACCGGTAAGAGCAGCGCAGTAGGAGGCTTCTTGTTGCGGAGACGGAACATGAGCCAAGAAGTGTTGCCTCAAGATCGGCACGCCCACGGCAGACGCAGCAGCGTGCTGCAACGTCACGACGGCGGTTCGCCGAGGAGGTTACCAGGCTAGGACTACAGGTTGTCCAATGGCGTCGGGGCAATGTAGCGGCGGCGCCCTTCAAGGCCGAGGTGGTGGGCCGCGCGCGTCCCTCTGAAGCGACATGCAGCCGATGTTTAGCCAGGCCGGTGCGGGCCACCGGTCGAGATCACGAATGAAAATGAAGTCTCCCGTCCGGCGGGTAGCGGTGAGTGGGTTGGTGATGAACAAGGGACAGTGGGAGGTTGAGACTACCTACATCGTTTGCCCGGGTTCGGTACCCCGCTGCGGGGCCGAACGTCGGTGACCGGCGCTGCTTTCCTCCGGCATGCCGCCGGCTTCGCGAGCGCTGACTAGCTTTTGGTTTGCTCGCCGAGGCACCCTCGTTGGGCGAGAGGAGTCGGCTCATAGCGAAGACCAGAAGGTGCTAGCGAAGCTTCGTCTGACACTGGCTGGCCGACTCGCTCCAGTGAGTCTCGCAATGCCTCGCAGAAAGCCTGCTGATGTCGCGCCGGCGGGAAGCTTCGTTGGGGGTTGCGAGCTGGGGGCATCGGGCCAATGACGGGGCCTGTTACAGAGTCATGTTCTCTAAGATAAGAAGCTGGCGGAGAGGGGGAGGGCAGGGCCGGTCATCAGCTGTCGTCCAGCTCCACACGCGCACCTGCTTCCTCTCTTCCTCTTCATTCTCCCCCTCCTGTTGGCCCGCGCCGTCCGCAGTCATGTTCGAGACGTGGAGAGTAGGACGATAGGCGAAAGCGTCTATGGGGCGATGTAGATGAGGCTCAACACGGGCGTTGCAGAAGAGTCCCGCAATCCTGCATTTCTGAGGCTTGTCCCGGCCACTGGCGGCTTTGCTGGCCAACTTCTGTGCTTATCGAGCTAATTTCTCGTCATCACCAACACACAAGCGCGGCGCCCTTCGAGCGCCTTCTACGACTTGCAAGATGCGTTTTGTGAGCCGGCCTGGGGTGACTCCAACTCCGTCCTCACTGCTACGCTTCCACGCGCCAGCGCCAGCGCCCGGCGATTGCCCAAGTCCTTGTCCCTGACCCGTCCATCATGCGTGACATCATCGCCCATCCACCTCTTGATTGGAGGAACCCAGGCCTGACATCTCGAGAAGGGTAGAGAACGACTCCGAAACTGCAATTCTTGTGACGAGGTCCCAAGGAGAAATGGGTGTCTACCCCGCCCGTTTCCCTCAAGGACCTTCAACTTCTAACAAGGCTAGGGGCTGCGGCTTTGCACTACAGTAAACGGCACAATTTTTTCTACCCCGTGTCGTCCGTGGGGACTCGTTTCGCACCTGCGTCCGCGCCAGCCCTGGTGCAAACAGTTGTCGGCTGCTTACATTTCCGTTTCGGTGACCTCACGCTGCGTCTGCGTCTGTGGCCCTTCTCTTCCTGCGACTCTTTGACCGGCGCCCTTGGCACCAAGCTTACACGAGCTGAAGCTGCCCCGACTTGGGCCAAGTACCTCCTCGCTTTCCACACTCTCTTGACAACTTTCCCTTCGGTGTCGACGGCAGGGAGCAAGCCTCAAAGAGAGAGCCTCAAACTCCGCGGCCTTTGATCTGCGGGCTGCACCCTCTGCCGTGTACGACTCGGTTTGGCCGTACGACGAAACGACTCCTTACCGCCATCTTGCATAAAAGGTTCTTGGTTGGCTCTCCGGGCTTCTGGGCTGGACTGCGATTTCCCGTCTCCTCCGTCAGAGCTTGCGCAAACCATCGCATCCCGTGTCGCCTGCTCGGTTCCCGCCGGACCAAGCGAGCAACTCATCCGAGCAGTCACGGCCAACGGAACCATTCCATTCCATCTCCCCATCGACATCTTGTTAGTCGCATCGAGACCTTGACCGCCCACGCGCGATACCACTCGATCCAGCCATGTCGAAGTACTACGAGCGAGAAGTCCGCAAGGACTACGTGAGAAGCCCAAGCCACCACCGCCGCGGCGACCCGCCCCCGGTCTCACGAGAGCAGTCCCCCGAATACTACTCGGGCGGCGGCGGCGGTCCCGTACAGGTGGTCTACCCGGACACTCGAGGGCCCGTCCCGATCGCTGGCGGTCCCTACATCTCGGGCGCCATCCCCGCCGACGCTCCTCCGGTCCATCCATACTACGGCCCGGAGTCGCCGCTCTCACCCCGCGACGCAAACGCCCTCCAGATCCCGCCCTCGCCCCGTTACCGCCCACGCTCCCTGCCTCCCCAAGCCCTCGCAGTAGGCCGGCCTCGATCCCGCTCGCGGCCCCGGAGCCCCATCGGTAAGGCCCGTCATGCCCTAGACAACACCTTCACCCAGTCCTCCTCGGGCATCGGCGTGGGTCTTCTGGGCGCCGTCGTCGGCGGTCTGGCCGCGCGCGAGGTCTCCGACGCCACCGTCCGGACCCGCAACCGCAAGGAGATGGAAAACGGCACGTTCCGCCCGCGGTCGCCCCGCGAGACGGAGAAGGCGCGCGTGATATCCACCGTTGTCGGTGCTCTCGTGGGCGGCCTCGGCGCCAACGCCATCGAGAAACGCTTCGAGGTCGCCCGCCGCCGCGACAGAGAGCAGCAGGAGGCATGGGAGAGGCGGTGGGGAGGGAGAGCGACCTCCCGCACTACGACACGGGCAGAGACTACGAGCTCGACCACGGCAGGGGACGTCCTCGCGATCGGCGCCGTGACGAGTGGGACGAGGGCTATCCTCGCGACTATCCTTACGACGACCGACGTGCGGGGAGGCTGAGGAGTGAAGAACGATACGCTTACAGGAACTGATGTCTTTGGTGTTGCCGTTTCGTCCATTTTCTCTTATTCCCTCTCTGTTTGTTTTTCCTGAAGACCGCATTACGACTTGATGATTTACGAGGGCCTTGTCGGGGAAAGTACTGCACCCCACAGGCGACATTTGGGAGGGTTTCTTTTTAGACAGTTGTATGCATGTTTAATGCCAGATACCAAAATTTCGTGTCTTTAACCGGTGCATAAAAGCATCTGGCTCGTCCTACAAACGCAAATTCATGTCTACAGAAGTACTCATACATCATGGCTCATTGACTGCCCCGCATGCTGCGACTGCCCTTGAGCGTCGGTTCCTGTGAGCAGGTATTTGGTACCGAGACGAGTTCGCGTGAAGCTCCCTGTCCCCGTTGTCTCTTGTGGTCCGTCCAGTCACCTCCCTTCATCCAACCTCCGGCCAAGGGTCTCGGTGGAAGACGCCACGCCCATCGTTGCACAGGAAATTGACAAGATAAAGGCCGTGTCATCTTCCTCAGTTGTTATAATGGAGGGTCTCGGCATTGACGTCGTAGCCCTCGGGTATAAGACGAAGACCGCCGTAGGGATCCGCGCCTTGGGCCAAGTCTCTCGACGGTTCCCATTGCCGGTCGCCTTGGCCATGCGGCAACGTCTGGGCCGTGTTCTCGCGCTCAAGCTTTGCCCGATAGGACTGCTCTCTCTCCACAATAACCTTGAAAAACTGCGCTATCTCGGCAACGGCAATCTGCTGGGCCTCGGAGCACCCAATGGTGTTGCAGAGAGACTGAGAATCGACCAGCTGCTTGGCAATCACGGAATCCGGCTGGCAGTAGGTGCGGATGCGCAAAGATCGAGCGTTGATCTTCATCGCATGGAGCAGGCCGGCGATCTCCAAGGGGTTGCTCTGACGGCGACCAAAGAACCTGAACTCATCAATGTGGAGGTGGACCAGCTCGAGCTGTGTCTCCAAGTCGTATCGGAAGCCCACGACTCTCGGGCGGCCCTTTTGGTTCCATCCGTCCGCAATCTTCTTGAGCTTGTCCGGGTTGAGCCGGCCGTGGTTCAGTTCGTTCGTGATGTAGGTGTGCAGTGCGTTGCTGATGTGGAACTCGAGCTCGCAGTAGAGGAGACTCTGCTCGCGAGGATCGAGAGAAATCGTCACCCTCTGCACCTTGCCCTCCCTGTCCACGTCTCGCGGTCTTCGGCCTGACGCTTTGCCCTCGGTCTGTCGGAGTGTTAGTCAGGAAGCCCGGAAACGTGGGCGCAGAGATGCCTACCATTTCCTTGGCAATCTTCTTGAGGCTGTCAAGAAGGCCCGGTTTCTTGGGCGAGTTGTCCTTCTTCTTGCGGTCCGGGGTCTGGTCGGGTCGCTCGAGCCACCCTTGTTCTCCGATCAGGGTCTTGCCTGCAATCTTCTGCACGGGGAGATCTTTGTAGGCGAAGTAGGGCCTGAGGGGAGAGTAGATCTGGCTGGCGTCCATCACCGGCTGTCTGAGGGCTTCCAGCCTGCCCATGTGCGGACCATACCCCTGGGCGCCTCCTCCGTGGTTGGCCATGCTAGGAGCCAGCGCCGGAGCGTTCGGGTCTTTCCAGCCGCTGTAAGACTGCAGCACGTTCTTAATGTGCTGCGGGATATCGTCCCTTTTGATGTGGAGCGGGCTTGGCTGGCCTTCGCCCTGAGAGTAGACCGAAGACGAGTCTACCTGATCGATGCTTGCGGGAGATGGGTTGTCCGGCGTTGTGGGCTGCGGGACATGGGGAACGCTCTCAGGGTTGTCCACGATAGTTGCGTATTGGCGGCGAGCATTGACGTTGACAGGTGTCGGCGTGTGTTGTCGGCGACGTTCGGCGAGGCTCGACACCAGAGAACCCTTTGCTTTGTGGCTCGAGGCCGGCATCAGCTCCGAAAAAGTCGTCGAGTCACTGTCATGGGGCGTCTCATGTTTGCTTCGACCGGTGTTGGCTTGCGAGGGGGATCCCTCGCGGTCGATGCTTCTATGGGCCCGAGACACGGGTTGAACACCACTGAAGTCGTTGTTACGTGCTGGCGATCGGGCTCGACTGAAGTTGTCGACTCGTCCGCGACGGGATGGTGACTCGCTCCTGTTCGAGAATCTGGCAATGTGTCAGCCGCGAGATGCGAATCATCTCGACGCTGGTACTCACACGTCTGTCAGTCGGTCTACCTGGTTCTCGGTCAAATTCAGATTGATCTGAACGGATTTGTTGGGCTTGTGTTTCTGCGGCGACGGCGACCGATGCTTCCTGGGCGAGACTGGGATGAAATCGCCTTTGATCGCAGAAGGCACCGGCCCTCGACTTTTGCCTCCCGACTTTTCCGAGTCCTGGATCATGATGGGGAGGCTGGTCGACGTCGTCGACGTCGTGTCTTGAGTACAGCGTCGGTTGGCGGTGCGAGAACCCACGGATCGCGACGTCCGACGGTTTCTTGATGCAATGAGACTTCCGATCCGTGAGCGGAACGAGTCGTCGTGAAATTCAGGTTCCTCCCGTTGGTCCACGTGCGGTGGTGAAGACAGAGGCCTCTTGAGGACAAGCCTGGGAAATGGCCCGACTAATTCAGGATCCTCAAACTGGCTCGTCCGAAGCTCTGCGATCCAAGCTTCGATTCGGGCACGAAACGACGAGGGGTCTGGGATGAAGGCAAATACGCCTTTTAGCACGTCGCCAAAATGAAGCAAAGCGGAAGGGTGACGGCGAGACTGAAAGGGGAGGTGGGGTTCGCACGGTTCCTTCCCAGACGGGTGAGGCAAACGCGTCTGTTGACATACCTTTTTGCGGAAATGCAGCCTCTAGATCAACCGACTCTCTGGCCGGGTACACGGCGGGGCCCGGTTCTGTGGAATATGTGAATAAGCCAGAGTCTGGTTTGGCGGGACGCGGCGGGACAACGAGGGGCGAGGAACACGAAGGGTCAGGGAGAAAACACCGCTCATACTACAGCTCTACGTACCCTTGGGCGTTTGTGAGATGCGCTGCTCTTCGTAGTCCTCATCTGATATGGCGGAATCTTCACTACTACGTGATGAACCGCCCTTCTGCAGGACAGACAAGGCAGTCTCATGATCGCCAGCTGGAGAGTCGTCAGTGTACGGCTCTCACGGACAGCTGTCTGATAACTCACCATGGCTAGCCGATATCTCCGACTCTCCTTGAGACGGGTAAGACATCTCAGGACAACTGAGGCCGGCGTCTGACCGCGACTCTCCTTGACCGCGTCGTGCCTCTGGCGCTTGGTAGTCGCTGTAGGACGCCTGTGATCCTCGGACGCCGCCGACCCCTACTTGCGAGCCATTGGCAGAGCCCGGCCGCGAACAATCGCCTTGGACGTAGGCGTAAAAGTCCGAGAACGACGGTTGATGTCGTGCTTGAGCGTGTCGTGTCAGTCCAAGAGCCTCGGCCGGGCCCGACAAGCGGAGGGGGTGCCTACCAGACTGTGTGGTGTCTTGCCTCGACGACGAACTCGGCCTCGAAGACGCCCGAGAGTGAGACAGCTTGCCCGATCGCTCGCTCGAGGCCATCCCGCTGGACCGGGATGCCCGTCCGACGTCACGAAGGACGGGTTGCTGCTTCGTGATGGTCAGCTCCCGGGCTTTTCCAAGCATGACTTCCGTGGCGACTTTTTGCACTCCGTCATCATCGGGAGTGGTCCAAGATTGAAGCAGGATCGAGTCAGCGCGTTTGGCCGAAAGAGTTGGGCTGCGAAGTTGATCGAGCGATGGAGCATGCCGCAGTTTGTGGGTCTCTTCGTCGACGATGCGGACAGGGTGTATCCTTGGATTGTCGTCGACCAGCCATCGATGATCAGGAACACCAAGCTTCCCGCCAGTGTTGGAGAAGCTGACTGCTTGCTGCCACTGCTCCGAATGACGCGCAGCAGACCAGGTGGACGGAACGTTCAACCCAAAATCCGCTGGCGCGTGAGATCCGTCGTCCTTAGCGGCAACCCCGCATGGGCTACGCACCATGCTCCTGCAACGCACGCGATCTACCTCTGACGGCCTCGAGTCGACACAGTCGTCCGCGGCGCCGTCGAGGCCGAACCAGTTGTTGCTGGGCTGAGGATGGGGTCTGGAGTCGCGCTTCGTCGCTTCGCTGTAGGCGGTGCCCGGCAAGCTGTCGGGACCAGCACTTCGCGCCTGGGGACTGTGGCTTGGAAGGTTGGGCCCAGGGTAAGCGGTATCCAGTCCGAACCAATCGTGGCCCCGTTGGGACCTCGGTGTCCTCGTTTGCCTGGGGGACTCGACGTCGGCCTGTCGGCGAGGACTGGCAGTCTTGTGGTGAAGTGCTCGGCCGTTTGCGCGGGATGGCGCAGTACAAGGCTCAAGAACGACCTGCCGATGGTCCAATCCGCCGTCAAAGCCGAGCTGAGGGGTGAATGGGCCGCGAAACTCATACGAAGGACCCATCACACCCTGTACTGCAGCATCTGCCAGGAGTTTCCTGGCCTTGGTATCCGCCGTGGGCATCATCTCGTGAGAAAGAGAAGGCGGCAGAGGCTGGCTGTCGGCTATCAAGGAGAACTTCCGGGCGAAGATCGGATGCGGCGTCACACAACCCTCGGGTAGTGGTACCGGCTTCGGATCGGGGCGTTCGCGCAAAGACAGGGCAGTCTCTAGACCGAACATGTTGGTAAGCCAAACGCGACGCCGGTTCTCGGGTCGGCGTTCTCGGGGGTCTTGGATTCGCATGGCATCTCTTCCACTCTTGAGAGCGCGGAAGACATATGTAGGTCTTCTCACACCCGGGCCGTGTACCCGGCCTCTCTCGGCTTCGGTGTTGTCGTTGCAGTTGCTCGCGTCTGCCGCTTGGGATGGCGGAGTGGCTGGGACAACCTGCTCCTCCTTGACAAACTTCCCCGCCCGGCCAATGCCAATCTGCCACTCCATCTCGTGCAGTTCCTTGGGATTGGGAGTGCGGAAGGCACAGGTCCCGCCCTCGCGGGTCGAGACGTACATGGTGTGGTCAATCATCCAAGCCTTGCGGCTGCGTATGCAGCTTGGCTCGTTCGAGCTCACGCGGCTCGAGGGGTGGTAGTCCGATAACCGGATGGGATATCGATGCGGATGCTGTTGGCGCCATTGTACGAGGCTCACCGTGGGCCGTATGGTTGTGGTGATTGTCATCATGTGAGGTATGTGAGGCAATTCCAGGTCGGACTGTGTAAGCCGTGTCAGTGGCCGGGACGGGGCTTCGCGGACGGCCGACTCACGTGGCGGTTGAGGTGATCATGCTTCCAGCGTTGAAACTCGGCTCCTGGGTCGTCCGAATAGCTGCAGTCGATTTCGATCAATTCGTAGAGCACACCACCAGCTAGGTCCAGGTTTTCGTCCCCGAGATGTTCGCGCAGAACCAGAAATACCTGCCGGAGCAATGCGTTCAATGTCCCCGCAAGCAGTGCACGAGCGGAAGCGGCCGACTTACAAGTTGAACACCGTCCCGGTATTGATAGTTCCGGGGGATGTAAGCACAGTATCTGACAAGAACGTTGCGGCACTCTGCGAAGGCTCAGTACACTTGCAGCAACAACGGAAACAGCAACGCATGGAGAGGCGTACTTTCTTCGTCATATCCATCCCGCGACACGGCGTCATGGGACAGGGCGTTGGCCATCTCCGCGAGCCTTTGGCGCCATTCTTCATCGTCTGCCTGGGCAGCGGCCCTGATGGACTCGACCCACGTCTGGAGACTTTGGCGATTGCGCATAGTGCTCATTGAACCGGCAGGAATGGGCAATGCGGACACGTTGGTGCCGAGACCTTTCTGTTGGGACGGGGCGGCGCACCGGTACTGCTCTAGGTGACGAGCTGCAAGCGAGAGCTTCGTCTATCTTGCCGCTGCCGTTGCAGAGACCGAAACGCAGGCGGTCGGGTAGCGTGAACCTTGCCACGTTCCAAGAGGATGACGAGGAGATGGGGTGGAAGCACGGAATCTTCTCAACTGCTCTCCATGGCAGGCTACAAAACCCCAGAGGTGGACAGTATCAAGCAAGCATCCACAGCAGGCAAGAGCTGCCTTCGCGTTGAAATGGCAGGGAAGGAAGGACGAACAACACCGCAAGGCATCGCCTGCAGGTAGCCTCCGTGACGGGAAGGAGCGTCACGAGTGTCCTCCTTTGCTCCCCTCTGTCTTCACTGGAATAGCATGGCGGCAGCCGAGCAGGTGCTTCTCTGCTCTACCTTATATCAGACGTTGGGCACAGCTGGCCACTTGACCGGCCATCGTGTCTAGGTAGATCTCGCAGGACAACTGGCCGGCTTCCTGGCCGCTAGGCAGTCGCGGCATTCCGCTCCTCGAACGGCCCTTGGGTCTAGCATTTCACTCGATCTTCACTTGAAGCCGGCGGACCAGGTTCCAGCCCGCCTCGGCCACGGACATGCGCACACTTGAGAAGCGCCGGACGCCAGTCGGCTCCGGTCTGCCGAACAACGAGGTCCTCGCTGGCCACAAGGCGGTGCAACCCGGCCCTTGCTCTGGCATCAGTGCAAGCATGGGGAACAGAAAGCTGCGCGTGCATGCGCAGCACTGCGTTTCGATGTTCCGGCGCTTAGAGACCAAAGCCAAATCTGCGACGATGGTCAGCTATTCTGCAGTGCAAACTGCGCCCAGAGTCGGTAACATGGCACCGATGTCGTCCAAAGGCAGAGCACGCACCTTGGCCCGATTCCGTGCTGGGTAGATCCCGTCTCGAAACCGCCGGCTAGCGCGTTGGGAGCCACCATGGCGCGGTGCAGAATCTGCAACGGTATTGCCCAGCAGGGATACATGTGCGATAGTGAGGCTTACGGTGCTTGCGATGGCAATGTGCGCGCAGGGCAGCACATTGCACCTGGCCTTGGGGCATGACCAGGATCCAAAGAGGACGCTGGCGACGAGCTGACAGGGCTGCGCACTCCGAGAGGCAGGATAAGCAATGGGGGGTTTTCGGACAACGGTTGTCTCGTCTGGTATTCCATGCGGCTCCAACTCAAAATTCGAATCCAACCGTCCAGCCGGTAACAAACCTTGCAGCCATGTACCCAAGCAAGCGAAGGGGGCCTTACATCAGTCACACAGCTGCCAACGTTGCAGCTGTCTGCGACCCTTGAATCTGAGCAGAGAATCTGCGTCAGGAAGACCGTCACGTGGGCTGGGCAATAGCCTCATTACATAAGTAAGACCAAAACCGCGACTTGAGGTGCTCTCAGTCGCACCGAGTTGTGCGACTGAACTCGTCCCACTCTTGGGTATCCCGGTGGAACCTCGTTGTGGTCTCTCCATTCTCGGGCGTTCCCCCTACCGTTTGCAATTGAACAGTTCTCACATAGCAGCAGCTCACTGCGGGTGTTCCACGCTCGGTTCGGTCGGTGCAGCCACCAGCGGCACCCGTCCTCGGGGTGCAGCACTTTCCCCGCACTTTGCCTTCTCCAACTTCCGAGAACCCCAAGAAGCAATCGAAGTGGATTCGCGCCGAGGGCGAAGCCAGGTGGCGCCAAGTACGTCTTACCTCATCCAAGCATAGGTCCAGCTGCCGTCTCCAACTGCCTTGTCGCTCTCAACTCCTGCGACTGACTGAGCAAAAGTACAAGCCTACCCCGGGCGCCCCTTGCCCACGACCCCACCACCAACTTTGCCGACTCGACTTCCCGAGTCCCCTTTGTCTGGGTTGAGCTCCCCCACGCAGGGATAACCAACCAGCCAGATCAATGGGAAGCGTCTTCCAGTCTTCCGCGCTGCTATTCTCTCTCTCTCTCTCTCTCCCCCTCCAAAGGTACTTCGACGGCCACTCGAGCAGCGCCCCTCGCCTTTTCTTCATGACGTGCCTGTCCGTCCCCACGGGTCAAGTGAGCGGCATGGCTTTGACCCCGAAAGCCAGCGCGCTTGACTGGGCACGTATCTGTCCCAAGAAGCAAGAAAGGTAGGGGAGTCCCCCCCCAGTGTGGAGAATTTGGAGTTCCCGGCCTGCGTTGCCGTCCCCAGTCTGCTTCCCGACGTCGATGCCGGCCTTCTGGGCCCTTCGGATCAGTCTCACTGATTGAACTATCTCCCCGCCGTCAATCATAGCCGTGCTTCCTACCCGTGTCCCGCTTGAGAGTTTTGTGCCAATCGGTCCGTCGCCATATATAACCTACTCGTCGCCTCCTTTGCCTCTCGTTACCGGTTTCCCTTGATACCATTCTTTAGACTCCTCGTGATACCCTATTGTTGGTAATCCCCCTCGTCTATACCCGTCGACCTTGCGAGATCATCGCCCTTTACTCAACCACGCCTCGCGCCTGCTGTCACCGCAACATGGAGACGCAACCTGATCGCCAGTCGGGCACTCATTATGATATTGGTAAGGACCTTCTCTCCTTGACAACTACATCGAGGAGCCACGCGCTGACGTGCCCATGCCTAAAGTCGTCGTTGGCGCCGGGCCCGTGGGCCTGATGCTGTCGACCATCCTGGCCAGATGGGGATACAAGATCAAGCACATTGACAACCGGGCGGAGCCGACGCCGACGGGAAGAGCCGACGGCATCCAGCCGCGTTCCCTGGACCTTCTTCGCAACATGGGGCTCAAATCGGCCATCATGGCTCACAAGCCCGCCAGAGTCTACGAGGTGGCTTTCTGGGACCCGCCCAAGTCCGGCAGTGGAATCGCTAGAACTGGCACTTGGGCCAGTTGTCCCGACTTCATTGACGCCAGGTATCCGTTCACGACCCTCCTGCACCAAGGCCACATTGAGCGGGTTTTCATCGGCGACCTCAACAAGAACGGCGTCCAGATCCAGCGGCCCTGGACCATCACGGGGTTCACCTCGGACGAGGCCGAGAACCCCGAGTACCCCGTCGAGGTCCGCCTGGAGCACGTCGACGGAACCGCCCAGGAGACGTTGCGGGCCAAGTACCTCTTTGGCGGCGAGGGTGCGCGCTCGTTCATCAGGAACCAGCTGCAGATCGGCATCAAGCACAAGGACCCCATCTCACACGTATGGGGCGTCATGGACGGTGTCGTCAAGACCGACTTTCCCGACATCAAGGTGAGCAACCTCGCCGAGAGGCACGCGCCAAAGCACCACGGCTGACAGCGTCACAGATGAAATGCACGATCCACAGCAAGCACGGCTCCATCATGGTCATCCCCCGCGAAGACAACATGGTCCGCCTGTACATCCAGATCGCGTCCTCGACGGACCCCGACTTTGATCCGCGCAAGACGGCCACCGAGCTGGAAGTGCAGGAGTCAGCCAAGCGCATCCTGCAGCCGTACTCGATTGAGTGGGAGAGGACTGAGTGGTACTCCGTCTACCCCATCGGGCAGGGCATCTCTGACCGGTACACCCTGGACCAGAGAGTCTTCCTCGGCGGCGACGCCTGCCACACCCACAGCGTGAGTACTGCGCCATTCCGGCCTCGGCCCTCCGTTGCTGACAGAACAACCAGCCCAAGGCCGGCCAAGGCATGAACACGGCGTTCTTGGATGCGCAGAACCTGGCCTGGAAGATCCACGCCGTAGAGTCTGGGTTCGCGCAACGCGACATCCTCAAGACGTACGAGACGGAGCGAAGGGACGTTGCCGAGACGTTGCTCGACTTCGACAACAGGTACGCCAAGCTGTTTTCGCAAAGGCCCGATGCTGCTAGCGAAGCCCAGGCGGCCACCGAAAAGTCCGCCCCCGAGGACCAGTCCGAGAACGAGTTCATCAAGACCTTCAAGGAGTCGTGCGAGTTCACGAGCGGCTACGGCGTAGCGTACAAGCCCAACGCCCTGAACTGGTCCAATACGCACCGCGCCAGGTCGCCCTTGATCCACCCCGAGGGCACCAAGCTCCGCACCGGACGCCTCTTCATGAACGCCGACGTGACGAGGGTTGTCGATGCCAACGTTGTCCATCTCGAGCAGGAGGTCCCGCTCAACGGCTCGTTCCGCATCTTCGTTTTCGCAGGGAAGCCCTCGACCACGCGCAACGCCCTCCGGGACTTTGCCGGCCATCTCAACAACAAGCGCTCCTTCTACGCTGCGTACCTCAGGGATGACGTGAACAGCGTGTCGCACCATGAGCAGCACAACCCGCACAGCTTGTTCTTCACGCTCTGCACCATCTTTGCCGCCAAGCGGAGCAGCATCGAAATCTCCCGCGACGTGCCCGAGCTGCTGGCGCGGTACCGCGACCACGTCTACGCCGACGACCGGTGGGACCGCCGCGTGCTAGACGCCAAGGCAGCAGCGCATGCCAAGCTGGGACTCGACGAAGAGAAGGGCGGCGTCGTCGTTGTGCGTCCCGACGGCTACGTCGGCATGGTGACCAAGCTGGTGGAGGGCAGCGGCACGGTGGACGCGCTGAACGAGTACTTTGGCGCATTCTGCACCAAGAAGCTCGGAGAGACGCTGGCGCAGCTGTAATGCCCGTATAGCGGGGGGAGGGGGCATTGAGACCGGAAGCATGTGGTTTTCATAGCATTATCCTGGTGTATACCGAGGTGGTCTGTACTTACCGGCGTCCTGGAGCAAGACATGGCTTAGATCCCTGACCGGGAGGGTGTTGCGACTCCTCCCATCAGGATATATACCAGACTGGGTGTCTGCAATCCCCCACCTGTAGATTGCATTTGAATTGATGATAGAAATACAGTCCAGAAATACAGTCCAGGTCGTCAATTGATCAGGTGCAAACAACACAAGTCGCCGCCCGTGTTCTTGGCCATGTTGATGATGCGCTGGAATGCTGGATCCCGAGCTTGCACTGGTGATGTGGTTGCTCGAGGTTGCGAGGCGCAGGGTCCACGGCGATTTGCACCGACTTGTGGAATTCGACCAGTTTGTGATTGTCATTCCCAAAGACTGTTTCGCTCCTTTCCTCCGGCTGTCAGCTACCTAAGCATGCGTGGCGGTGGGGCGACCCCGGCACCATGAGCTGCCCTGCCCTGTGCCTGAGAGAAGCATTAGGTACCATGTACCTCAGGTAGGCCGCCTTGCCTCATTCCCTTCGGCTGTTTCCTCTGGAGCTGTCAAAAAACTGCAGGCGCCCTTTCCCAAACTCTATACTATCCATCGCACCTAGCCCCCCGATGGGGATTTCGCAACTTCCCACCGCATCGTCCGCGCCTTCCAACCCCCCTGCGCGTGATTCTTTGACGCGCCTGCCTGTGTGATCGCTGCTTTGTCTCTTCACATCTCTTGCCGCCTCGTAGAGCCTGCGTCTTCTTTCCCCAGCACACCAGGTCGACGCGCCTCGCCTTGCGACTGGCCTCCGAACCGCTCTCGATCTTCCATAATACGAGCCTATCTCGACCTCGCATCACGACTGTCTGCCATCGCGACAACAGCCACGAATCAAACCAGCAACGCGCCCTCTCGGCGATTTCGGATCGCGCAGCTTCAGATGCACTGTAAAGACCCCGGCGTCTTCTATTTCGCCCCTTGGCTCCTTTCATCCACGCCTGTTTGCCTTTGCGCCGATGGCTTTCCCTTAGAAGCTCCTTGCTCGACTTTTGAGCCTCGCACCTTCCTAGCTAACGATCATGGCGGTAGAACAGCACGATCAGCAGTACCCACCTCCTCGCGGCCCCACGAGTAAGATCGGCTACTTCGGCTCCTTCGAGGAGGTCATCTCAAGCGGCAAACCACGACCCCGTTCCTCCACGCCCGCGAAACCGACGACATTCGGAGACGGCTGGGATCCCCACCCGACCAGTCCCGGCCTCCTCGTCAACCCAGGTCTCGACTCCCGCGACCCCCTCGCCGGAACTGTCGCTCCTCGTCCTTTGACTCGCTACCTCGGTCGTCACTATCATCCACAGTTTGACCGACACCGGACTGGGCAGAAGTCCGAGCTCAAGCCTGAATCACGACCTACATCGAAAGAAGGGCAACTCCAGGTTGATCGCCGCCACCATTGGCTTCAACGGACGCCCCGCCCTGCGCCGACAAGATTTGTGGGAAACGCCCGCGTCTTTGCCGAGCGATCGAGCAGACGTATCTTCGAGCCCCGTCTAGACAGAGCCCGACCAGCCCCCAGGCCAACGAAGGTTGGTAACGGTCTCGTTCCCGGCAGGAAGGCGAGCAAGACGTCGCTCAAAGACCCCTTCGTCGACAAGCGTTCGACCACCAGAAGCATTGGCATCCGTGCCCCTCCTTTCCCAAGGTCTCAGCAAGCCGAATACCTCAGACTCGCGACCACCGCGAACCTACCTGCAACAAAGCCCACTCGTGTCGCCAAGACCCACCGACACCTGCCCGCTCTGAGCAGCTTGTCCTCCGAGTATCACATTGCCGGAACGAGAGAAAGGCGTCGTGAGTTGCAGTTCTTCGCAACCCGATCGAAGGAGGCGCGGAAGGATCTGTTTGGCCCGACTGGCCCGGCCTACAAGTCGTCATTCAAAGAAGTGGGAAACCCTACCCCTGGTGACGAAAGCGCTCCCATCAATCCCGCCGACCCCTCTACCAGCACCCATACTGAGTCTTCGGCGACCTATTTCCCTGCGGCGCCGCCCGGGCCTATCCGCTTTCCCCCGAGCAGAACACGGTCGTCATCCCTCCTCATCAGCCGACACTCGTCCAAAGCTTGGACTTCAAGACAGCCACCGTCCAGCGTGTGGGACAGGAGACACCGTCCTCCGGCCAAGGCTCCCCTGGCCCCAAGACGTCACGCTACGAACAGAGCTGTGCACCCGGCTGCGACACATCCCGCAAGCGACGGGCCGGAGACTCGGAGCTGGACCTGATCGTGGCGGATGCGGCCGGACAGAGTCAGCCGGAGCAGGTGCCACTCACAACAACCCCGAGTGCTGCAGGTGTGGCTTCAGACGAAGGGACTGTGAGTTGTCAACTCTTTTCCCCACGGAATCATGCTAATGCGCTGCAACAGGAACCCCAGGGCCGTGGGGCTTGGCTCGTCAATATCATGACCTCAGTCCGAGGCGCCGTCACCAAGGTCTCCAGTAGCATTTCTGGCTATGGTGAGTTTGCCCGCGTGGCTACCGCACCGGCCAAGTCTAACCAACGTCCCAGTGTATCCTCGCAACTACAACGTTATTGAGCGACACTCTCGCGACCAGCAAACCGGCAATATCGCCACGAAGCGCATCAAGCTGGAACTCACCGACGACCCCGTCGTTGAGACCATGGCTGCACAACCGTCTCGGGCCGCTAGCTGGGACACGTCCAAGACCAACCTTGTCTGGGTCGACGAGTCGACAAGAGTCGCCCATTGGCATCAAGTAGCCCCGCTTGTCCGAACATTTCGAAGCATCAGTTACCGGATTGAAAAGGGGCTGTCGGGTTCCAGAGATGGCTCTCCCGCCTCTCGGGCGGATGGCGATGCCCTCTCGCAGCGCATCTACACCCTCGGCGCCTACGTCTCCATCTTCCAGCAGACGGCGTTCGTCCTGGAGAGCGTCTATTCTCACACCTTCTTGGCGAAACTGAAGGACACATTCAAATTTCCTCAGTCAACCATGGACTACGACGTCAGCCCCGACGAATTTCTCGCCATCACGGCGGTCAAGGAATTCGTCAACAGCTTCCCCGACGAATGCTCTCCCGTCCTGGCCGAGTCTGGCGTCACGCAGCGAGTTCTCAAGGGCATTGGCGCGGACTTGGACGCTCTTGCCAACCAGAAGCCGATGCCCAATCTCGTTCAACGAGCCGGGCTGGTCGGCAAGGTCATGAAGTTCTTCCGGGGACGCGACACCTTCGGCGTCGAGGCTTCTGATGATCCCGTCTCCAAGATCGCCGTCGAAATGCCTGGCAGCTTTCCGGATACGCAGGTGAAGAGCGAGCCCGTGGACGAAGAGGCCAAACCCCCAAGGGACGCTCCTGAACATCGACCAGTCACGAAACCCAACTATCTGCCTCCCGCCAGAACCACGGACGCGTACACCTTTGTCCGTGAGCATCTGGCCGAGATTGCGACAAGGCGACGGACCGTCTACGGAGAGGGGCCCGCTGGCATGACCCCAGAGGACTTACTCCCCAGACCGAGCCCCATCTCCATCAGAAAGGATGGCCAATCCCCCGTCGTGTTGAAGCGACTCCAGAAGGCGAGAGGCCTGAAGAGAGTACAATTTTCGTCATCGGCCAAACCGTCGACGCCCTCGCCGGCGAAACGAACCGGCTTCTTCAACAAGCTGTTCGGCTCACCGCTCCGTCAGGTCACCGAGGGCAGTTCCCTGAGTGGCGCGCAGACCGATGGCTCGCCTGACAGCCGTGGCTTAGGGAGGCCAGGGCGGCAGGCGGGCACAGAGCAAGAGACGGACAACACGTCCGAGGACAGCGACGGGGAGGCTGTTGCGGCCAGATGCCAGCCCCGCCTCGTGCGGCATCTGAACGAATCGTTGAAAGGGCTCGAAGCCAGGGGCTTCTTTGTCAAGGACGAACCGCAGGAAGCGTCTTCTTGCCCCCCAAGCCCCCCCAATCTGGCGGGCCTGAACATTTCGGACGATAAGGAAGAGGAGCTCGAAGATCTCTCCCTCGCTCTTCAGCTGTTGCTCGACGTGGACGAGGCACGCCGAAGAGAGGAGGAGGAAAGAAGGGCCAAGGAGGCGGAGGAGGAGAGGCTGCGCAAGACGGGCGGGCTCCGCGTTCCTCGAAGGCGTCTGATCACCTCGCTGCCGGCAGACTGGTCCCACAAGGTGTCGGCTTCGCTGCAAGCCCACCCTTCGAAGACGCTTGCTGTCACGGCCGAGAGCGTTGAGCTCCGGAAACACGACTTCGCCAAGGTGGTTCCCGAGACCGAGTGGCTCAACGACGAGATTGTCAACGGCTCGCTGCAGTGGCTCGACCGGTACGTCAACGCGGCTGCGGGCGCCACGGACGTCAAATCACCAAACCGGGTCTGCCTGGCCATGGGGTCGTTCTTCTACAAGAGACTGGAGGACAACGGCGTGCAAAACACCGAACGAGCACTGCGCCGCTACGGCGTGACCAAGGCAAACTTTCTCAAGCTGGAGACGATTCTCATGCCCATCTGCAAGAACAACCACTGGACCTTGCTAGTCGTCCGGCCGCAGAAGCGAACCGTCTCGCACATGGACTCCTTCAACCCTAGAGGATCGGCCGCCCACGCCAACAGAGCCCTGGCTTGGGTCAAGGCTTTCTTGGGCAACGACTACAAGGCAGACGAGTGGAGGACGGTCTGCCACGAGGCTCCAGTGCAGACGAACGGTTACGACTGCGGTGTCTTTACCATCACGAACGGCATGTGCTTGGCCCTCGGCCTCAACGCCATCGACACCTACTCTAGCGAGGACTTGCCACTGCAGCGTCTCCGAATCGCCGGCATGCTGCTGAACAAAGGCTTCAGCGGCGAGTTCGACCTTGCTGGCCTCTGAGCTTCTCATACGACGGAGCAACCCGACAGAACCGCGGCGCTTTGGTCGAGCTTTTGCGTGATCGGAGAACCGCCTTGCAGACTTGACAGAAACGGAGGGGGCAGTTACGGAGGGGAGTGGAGGAATCGAAGACGGGACTCGCGCGTCCCGTTTGCTTTGTCATCATCGCCGTCATCATCATCGTTTTCTCCCCGGAGGAGGGAGAAGGGAGCGGGCAACTGGGCGTTGGCCAAAAGTACTTGGGAGTTCTGGGATACCACATAGTTTCTTGCCGAGATGCCTGCATGAGTGTTTGTTTCTATCTTGTCCTACTGCGGCTTCTTGACGGTCATCTCGGAAAGATGACATGACGAGAGCACGCAGCTTTGCTTGTCCATGAGAGGCAAGACACACATGATGAAAGGACCCGAAAGGCCCTGTTGATACACTTCCCGAGTCTCACGCATGCGTCCGCCGAGTGACAAAGTCATCCGTATCCATCGTGTGAGCCAGGCCTCGCTGAAGGAGGCTCTTTGACCCAAGCACACTGGCCCAGCCCAGCGGGGTCTGCAGCGTTTCTCAACCTCCCATACGGGGCCCAAGAATGGATACCCGGCAACTATGCGTTGTCCAGAGTGAGCAGCAATGCAGCGAACAGCCCGTACCCGACCGCATCGGTTTGCCTGCCGGTCTGGTCTACGTTGGTTCCCCCACCCCGAGTCCTCGCGTCGGCCACCATCCCGTGTCCAAGGGTGTCGTGTCTGGTCTATTCTGGAAGACTGCTCTGGGGGCCAGCGCCGGGCAGATGGGAAGCTCGAGGCAAGTAATCCGTCCGTACACGGCTGCTGCTTCTACGCGATGTAACCTACCTGGGTTGATATCGTCGAACCCCTGGAGGAGATGCTGCGTGTTCGTCCACTGAGAGGCCAAGCCGCCGTTGCTCGGGGTTTCTCCCGTCTTCGTTCCGGCGACAGGCGAAAGCTCGGTTTCAGGTGCGGGACGCCGAGCATCGAGACAAGCACGCGACGCCCCCATCCCGGCACGGGCGACGGGGTCCCTAGGGGCTTGGTCGTGTGTTTGGTTGAGGAGCATCTGTTATGTTGGCGATGGCATTCCGACCCCACGTGGGCGCGCGCGCGGACACGGGCTCACGAGTCACCAGCGCGCATGGGGTTTCCGTCTTGTTCTTGTTCCCTCTCCCCGTTGTTCTTCGCTGGGTCTTACGAGATTCTGACATAAAAAACCCGAGGCCCATTCTTGAGGACCCGGTCTGGGAGCCTAGAGCCCGGTGGGGGATGGGGGCACTTTGCTGATTTGGTCCCAAGAGGCACAAGACCGGCGCTAAGAAAAATTCCATCGTTCCATGCCTCTCTCGCTCTCCAGCTGCTACACGTGCATCCTTTGAGGAGGCAAAATGAGGCTGTCTGACAGATTTTTTGGCAGGAGGCCATCAAAGCTTGGGGGGTCCCACGATCGACCCAGGGGTTCAGGCTGTCCCGTCGCTCTGATACACCGTTTGGGTGAGATGGACGCCAAGGGACGGGCGGGAGGTGGAAGGGGGGAGGGGGCAGCAGCCGTGGTGGTTCCCCCAATGGCTCTTTCGAGGGTCCCCCAAGGGTTAGGCGATTCAGGCAGCTGCATTGTCCAGGAGTTGGCGCTTCCGAGGTGGCAAGTCGCAGATTTTCTTGGAAAGGGGTTCGCATTTTGCTGAGTACGTTTATACGGCGCAACACGGTGGAGATTTTCCCTTTGCAAATCATGGTAACGGACATGCCGCGCGACGGCCATCGGTAGACGGGAGGCAAATGGGAACATGCGTCGACTCGCGCCCTGGCCCTGTCGTCTTATCGTCTTGAGTCGATCCCCATCTACCCACATTGTGGAGATGCGGCGAGGACTGCGAGATAACCAGAGGGTGACAGACATTGTTGGTGTACATAGAGCGATGCTCGCTCGGGCTGCTGTCCGCGTGCGTTAGTCATTGGTAGCGCAAAACTGACCGTCAACCTCTGCTGTGCCTTTTTATTTTTGTTTTTATTGTAATTTTGCAATGGGACCAGGGACAAGCTGCATATCTGGGGACGGGGGAGATCTACTCGTTGTTCCTGCCGATCGTCGTCCGTACAAACCGAGGTACACTCCAGCGCACTTTGGCAGCAGTAGCAGGGTCCGGTGTGGCTGTCGTGGCACTGATGTGGGACATGGGCGGGCCGATATGAGTCAGGTCTTTATCCCGTGTGCCTTGGCCACAGCAGCCGTGGTTCCAGCAAACCGACAACCTCGGACTTTGAACACGAAGGGCGGGACAGGCGAGATCTGGCGGAAACGGCAGCAAGACGAGAAGCGAGACAGTGGGCCGGTCGCCGTGGACAACGTTGGAAAATACCACCATTGCGGCCAGCGACGGATGGAAATGGGGTCGCGCATGACACCTACAAGGTTGTGGCACCGCGTCCAGGGGCCGGCGACAACGCCGGGCGACGGCGCCTCGCGGTTTCGCCGAGGACAAGCCATACCCATCCTTGCCTCGCCGACCGTCCGCCGCCCGCCCGCCCGCTCTCGGTACGGAGACTTAAAGACTCGTCCGCGGGTTGAGGGTTCCAGGATGCTTGGCACTGTCAGTGCTGCCAAAGGAAAGCACCCGGAGATAGACTGAGGAGCTGCTCGAGGCCTAGTTGAGCCGCCCACGACGTGCGTAGTGACAGCCCAGGTTGAATCATCCCAGAAGGGACCCTGCTTCTGGTGCGTAGGCCTTGGCGGGCGGGCCGAGAGACTTAGTGATCGACTTTCGAAGCCTGGCCGAGACCATAACGCGAGTTGTGAGGATTCCCAGTGTAATATCGCCGGAGGACGTTGGCAACCCATCCATCGCGAAGCCGCGCAAAACGGCGTCGACATTTCGTCAACCCGCTCACTCGACCAAGAGACAACGAGGCAGGTAACCATCGCTATAACCAATGCGTACAGCTGGGCACAGGTCGTTCGCAGATGGAGGACACGTTCAGGACAAACCCCGGCAGTCTATGACACCCCCAACTCAATGGCTGCGCTGGCTAACCACATTGGCCCGACGATGAGCAACCAGTAACGAAGACAGACACACGCTCTCTCTCTCTCTCTCTCTCTCTCTCTCTCTCTCTGCTCTACCGCCTCACGAGCAACCAACCCCAGTCTTCGTCTTTTGTCGCTTTGCTCTCGTCAGTATGACGTGACCAAAGTTTCAGCTCGTGGCTGTCCCGGCGGCTTCACCAACTGCCACTACGACGGGGTGTAGTCGTGGCTGCTACGGCTGCAACGCATCCTCTAACCAATTCTGTATGTGCCCATGCAACCGGTGTTACACATGGTCAGTACTGCAGGCAGGCAGTCATCAAATAATCCGAGGAGGAAAGGCTGAGAGATGAAGACGTCCTGGTGAACTCCCCAGCTGGCCGGTATAAGGTCATGGCCCCGTCATGGGCACTCGTCGTCGCACCCCATCAGAAGGGCATGCGGCATCGACAAAGATGGGATTGCGCGGTGCTTGAAGTGAGGATGAATCTCAAAACCGGCGGTCCGAGTCATCAACAGACAATCAGTGCGCAGGCTCGCTGCGGGACGTCACATCATTTCTCACAATTCCACGGCCAACTCTGGCCCCGCCGGGGTTCCATGGCTACTGGAAGTATCGTGATGGGGCACTCGTGGAACGAGACAAGACGGCGCCACAACCCAGGTGGTTGAGTCGGGTGTCCTTGCAACGGACATTGGCCGTACGCGCCGTTGAACATCTAGGCGGTGCGGCGGCGCGGCGGCGGTAGCCAGTTTGTTGGACCGGTTGGCCGGGCCCGCCGTCGCGTGTGTGCGCTCCTGCTTACAGCGTTGGGTGGTTGGCGCGATGACTCGCCATTGTGCGAAGTAAGAGCGTAGCGTGGTGCGTGCCGACGTTATTGCGCTGGACGAGCGGTTGAGAACGTGAGACTGGGCTGCCGGTGCCAGACGGGCATCGGCGCCTCGGGAGTGTATGGGATGAAGATTGAGACCAGGCATAGAATCCGGGCTCTCGGCGACGCCGCCGGCGCTACGGAAAGTCGCCTGTGCGACTGCATTGCTTGCTTAGCTCCGCACCGCTTCGCCGTGAAGTGTACTTGGGGTACACACGTCAAGCCAGATAAACCCAGATGAGAGCACAAGCGGCCGCGGCTGGCTGGCTGGCATGGTCCGGGATCTGTTGTTTTCGAGGTTGGGGTATCGATGGTGCGTTCCCGTTCCATGGCATCTTCCCCATCTCCTGAATACCGCAGTGCAGGTGAGTTGACAAATTGGCCATGGTAGGCTCCAGGGCCCCATGGAGTGCGTGACCGACTTCATAGCGTTGCGTTGCCCACGGTCTCCCAGTTTCCAGCGAACAAGTCCCTCCTTGCCGGACGTCGTTCGTCGGGCTCAGCTGTCACTGACCACTGCGTCAGTGTCAGTGGTGCATCCCACCGGCGGTCCCCGTACACAGGACATCCATGGACGTTGGACGTTCCATCAAGCCGGCAGGCATGCTGCCACAGTTAGAGATCCTGGCGGGTGGGGAGTGTTCGGGATTCCCTGGGATCAACCCATGGTCGGCCGAGATAAAAGAGCACTAGTCCGGAATAGGAAGAGTTCCAGAAGCACGTAGTTTGCCACAATGGCACCTTTGGCGACTCATTGGCAAGGAATGACCAGTCGGACCAGCCCTGCTTTTTCAGTTCCTATGTGCGTGAGTGTGTTGCTGGTCGCATACCATGCCCGGCTCAGGTGAGCGAGGCGATACGGCACTGGGGACAGGGGGAAGAATCTGAGTGTTCGGACTGTTGGTGAGGTAACGTGAGACCTTATCAGTTGACAGTGTTTTGCATTGCAAAGAATGGACAGTCAACAGGATGTGACAAACCCACGGAGGGTGACCACCGTTGACAATGCGGGGAACGTGTTGTTGATGCCGTGTGCTTACATAAGGCCGATGGAGACGGGACGCTCCTCCTCCCATACATCGCGAGCGCACCACCCGT